TGGGAAAATATCGAACTGTCGCAAAAATAACATTCTAATTACTCACAAAAAGTTCGCTTTCATAATAATACAAGTGCTACCGCCCAAGTCTAATAAAGCTCGAAAGTTTCTGAACGTTCTTCAGGTTCGCCTGAACTTTCGTTGGTGATGCGGTATAGCGGCGGTTTCATAAAATCTGACGCAGAAAAATAGAACGATGTAGCGCCCAACGCAAACGAGATAAACTTCTTCTAGCGCGAAACGAGCTTAAGCAAGCTGCTGTAAATTTTATCCCGCACTCCTGTACAAAGTAACAAATTTTCGCGCAAACGCAAACGCGCAAAAATTACCATTCTTTAATTAAAATTCACAGAAGTTTTATTTGAATGCATTGTATTTATGTCTTCAAATATTTCAATGCTTGTAATTGTTGATCAATCGTCTATTTTTCGTCTATTTAACGACTTTTTTTGTTATATTTATAGTATTTATTACTTTACTATAATCATTTTATAAAATACTCTATACATATTGTTAATCTATTTTTAAAGTAAACTCGAAATTAAGTAAAAACTTTGTTAGATATCAAATTATCAATAATTTTTGCATTATTAAAAAAAATAAAACATTAAATTTCGGAGGAAAAAATCTGATTCTTCAGTTAATTTGAGCCTTTTATTTAAAACGTGAAATTAAATGCAAAAACATATTAAGTGCTTAAAATTACAATGTTTATCATTCCTGTATTTCCTAAAATTTAAATAATCACCTTTAAATTGGCCGAAAAAAAGAATACATACTAATAGGTGCAGAACATTTTGTACATTTATCGTATTAATTAAATAAAAATGTAATTTGATCCAAAATATTGAATAAATTTGAATACTTGATCGAAAGTAATTGCAAACTTTGTATAATAGGTTGCTCAAGGAGAGAACAAATAGATTCTCAAATACTCGTACAGCGCACGTGTGAAATGTGTTACAACCTACGTTTCTCTCGTGCCTGCACTTTTGCCTCCAGGCTATTAAATGTTACAATAATATATTTTGAGTACGTTCCGAGTATCTCTTCTTTTTTATATCCGTGCAGAAATAAAATACACATAGCTCGTATATCCATCGGAAGCGAATTATTCCCACGCAAGCTTACCGTTTTCCATATATATCGAAATTGCAACAACACAAATCGTAAACCGTTAAATTGCGATCCATTTTAAAATAACATTTCATTATATATGTTTTACATTTGGAATCATAATTACATGTAACAAATAGGAATAAATATTTATTTTAGAATTTACAAGAACATGCACGTGCGCACAACTTTTCTGTAAAAATAAATTTCTGCATTCTAAATTTACCGAATAAATTAACAACATTAAATTATATCTATAGGATAAACTTATTAATCTTTTAATATGCATATTTCAGACAAAATTATTAAACAGATACAATCTAATAATTCTCTAATCTTTTCTGATTATTTCAACTAACAAAATTTCTGTTCTTTTGCTCTAATTCAAGATTGACTAAAAATTAAATTATTATCATTGTTTTCCAAAAATAGTGGAAAATGAAAAATTAAGTAGATTTATGTAAAAAGATATTTCTATTAAGCATATCTTAATGAATGCGATTCGTAAAGATATCGAAAATATATAAATATAGATAAATATAATGCTACATAAATAATTCTTTATCTAATTTTACTATTTTCCCAGTCATAAGATCATATGTAAATAGTTATCTCGGCTATAAGATTTACAGAATTATACTCCTCAATAAAAAATATCAGAAAATTAAATATCTAAAAATAGACATTATTCACTGCGCTATGTACAATACATATTGTATATAACTATCTAATCGAATCAATGTATAATCTCCGTGATTCATTGAACTGATCTAAGAAACTGTTCTCGATAGCGAAATCGAGAATCAAACTTCACTTCACTCGAGCGCATCTATTGTCGATCATTAGATGCAGCTAATAAAGTATTCCTTGCCTTGTACCAAGTTTCCAAAGAGCCAATTGCAACTCCTCACGAATAATAGCGTTACTGTGCAGTGACAATCTCTTTACTGCTACGAATTATAACTTCCTGTAGTAATATGTATTACACCGTTTAAGAGAACAATGCGCAAGAAGTTATATATATATAATCAAAGCAAAGGATTTAATTTGTGTAAAAAAAGTTGCAAATATAATTCAATTTAAAGAATAATAATTTTAGTATTTATAATGATTTCGTAAATTAATAATAATAAAAAAGAAATAGAATAATTATTGTAAATTTTGAGCGTAAATTTGACCTACAAAATATTTCATTAGGTCACAAGAGAGAGAAATATTTAAGATATTTCACGTTAAATTTGTAAACAAAATTTTTATTGTTTGTTAAAAATTTGATATATTTTAATAGAATTTTCAAAAAAATTATGAAAAAATTAAGCACTCCATAAATCCAATATTTAATCACAAAAATTTTATTAATTTTAATTTTAATCAAATTTTAATCAACAAATTCTTTTTGAGAATTAAAAGCTTTGTCAATATATTTAATTTTGAATAAAATAAAACTTTTTTTTAACACGTCGCATACCATAACCGTAATATGATATTCATATGATATGATATGATATGATAATATAAAATATATTAATAATATAAAATATATGATAATATAAAATAACCTTTTCTATCATTTTAATTTCAAATTTCTCGAAATTGTAACGCGATAAAACATTTTAAAAAGATGATCTTTAGCATTAAAAATTATGAACAATAATTACTATTCATAACAAAAAATAGTAATTATTACTCAAAAAAATCTTTAATATTAAATCTATGATCTGAATATATTCTCTCTTGCAAAATGAGTTTAAGAACTTCTCGAGTTTATGAAAAAAAAAATTATCTTTTATTATATTGTAGTGTAAAGTACAGCTTTGTATACTACTTTTAAAAATGTGAAAGAAATATCTTATCGGGAGCCGGAGAAAATCGAGCTTGAAAAGTTACAAACTAAATATATCATCTTTCTAGTCATTCATACGGCTCCCTCTTATATTCCCAGAGCATATTATCGCTCCGAACTTGGATAATTTACATCAATCTTTCGCTCGATCGTGTCTGAACCGTTGATATGGACGAGGAGGAGCATTGCGAAATGAAGCCGTCGAATGTGACTCCTCTATCGCCCATCGTCGAACTGAAGTTTAAAGGTGAAACACGCCGGTGCATTCTGCCAGCGACAGCTTGCAGCTGCAGTTTGCGAAACCGCGCCGCTTTATGGATTAACGAGCGTCCGCACTTTCGCGAAGTTTCACGTAACACAGTCGCAAAGTACTGGCGAATTCGCGATGGAAGTTTCTAGCGCGAATGTGGGCACTAGCAAAACGAATTTCTGATTAATTGCTACCGTAACGGATAATGAATGCTCCATGCGACGCTATGTGCTCGACGACCCTTGAAACTTGCCTATTGAGGTATATATAATTTGTTATTTTCGAAACGAAAAGTTTGTTTCTCTATCTATCAAATTTGAATGAAATTCAGGAAATGAGTATATATACGTCAAACCCCGAAACGTGCAACGTCCTTTAATCATCTCCTCCATCATTCATTCGATTAATTCATCAATGTGAAACTATAGTTACAAATGAGGTAATAAAGATTAATAGACGTCAATAGATGAAGCACTGAATTCGTAAAACTTGTAATAAGTTAACTTTAAAGTGTTTCTATTTACACTAGAAACAGAAGAAAGAGGAACACAATTCCATACGATTTCTGCATCTTTATTTTTATTTAAATCTTTTTTAACGAGTTATAATTTCACTTAATTATAAATGTATTCGAAAATTTTTATATATATATCTATATATATATGTCATACTTCTTTTATCTACACTTAATTAAAAAGCGAAACAGAGGTGAGCCTATCAAAACATGGTCGTTTGCAATTAAGCCAGTCCTAAATGCACTTTTATTTCGATAACAGCGTACGCGAATTCGAACTTGTTCTTCACAATACGAATTAGGCTTGAAGCCAGATAGCTCATTTTAGCGAAAATAGAGACCATTTTCCTACTCGTCCTCTTTCTGTTCTTTAGACTTCTTTTTAGTGATAGATACTTTGTTTCCTCTGTAGAACGCAAAGCATTTTTCTTTCAACATGTTTCACCGATTTTTTGTCTCTTAACATAAAATAACGAGGAAACGGAAAAAGTTGCTGTTTTGTGAGTCGGAGACAATTATTATGACAACTAATAATATCTCGGAAAATAATTAAGAAAAAAGTTTAATATTATTTTATTTCTCTTATTATATATCATTTATATTTTTATCTCATATAAAAATGATCTCTAACTAATTATAAGAGTATTTTCTTCGAACCAGTGAACTTTCAATCGATCTTTCTTTAACGGAAAATGCACTCAACAAGAAACATTGTATATATTACTGAGATTTCTTTAAATATATTCTATATGTATAACTATATTTTTACTTCTATATGTAAAAGAAGTAAAAATAACTTCTAAATCTTGGTAATTTTTATCTCTCTAATAGTTTTCACCAGTTCTATTATATAGGTGTAATATGTAGAATGAGAAAATCTGAGCAGTATTTCGTGAAAATCTTTTTATCTACATTTTTTTTCGCACAGACCATTTCCCAAGTGTGCTATTCCAATAGTATTTTCAACTGCGAAGCATATTAAACTCGAGAACACGACAAGCGAGCTCATTAACTGACGCGATTCCTAAAAATCTTCGTGATAAATCTGCCCGCGCGACTCCGCAAAAAAAAAAAAGATTATGCTCTTGAGAACATGCAGAAAGACGAGACTACTCTCGAATGAATTTCGGTGGATTCGCCGAAGGATCATAAATCGTTCGTTCTCTCGATGCCCTTTTACCAGAGTCTTGTGCTTTTTTTTTCTTCTCTCTTTCTCTCTTTCTCAATAATAAATCCAAGATTTCGAATTTCATTTTTTTTTTCCTTCCTTCTCTCAGATTACGGTCGACGCGTGGCCGGATTTGAGGACAACGCCGAAACGACAGAGAAGAAAGAAGTCCGAGAAAGAGGGACTTGAGAGGAGGCTTCGATCGGCTCGATACCGATGGAGCCGTCCTGATGCAGACCGCGAAACTACGCGGGGATTACCCGATCCGTTCGTCGGACTAATTCCACGGCAGACCCCGGTGATTTCGCGGAGCAACGTGTTACGCCGTTCTCTCATCTCCCTTGACGGCGCGACAGACCCAGCCACTTCCACTTCCTCCACCCCACGTGGCCGCACCATCACCTGATAAGGTAAGTTGCTCTTTCCGTCGAAGCTATCATACTATTGTCGAGCGATTGCACAGTGTGCGATGTGCATTAAAGATGATAGATCGTTTCGAGATGATAACTCGAGTCTCGTATCACTTGAAAATGTCGATCGTTGATAAGAATCTTCGATATTACCCTATATTTAATGTTGCATAAAATGCGACATAAATTAGCAAATTTTTATCTGCACGGAGAAAAATGTATACTGCATTCAAGTAAATATTATTTATTTCAAGTATATCATAAGTTTGTATATTCGCAAATATATCACAAGTTTATACCACAGGCATTTATTTAATTGAATATGTTCTGCATTTTAGTAAGTGCAGTATTTTAGTCAAGAATATTAAATTAAAACAAAAATTTGGTTTGCTTACTACAAGAGTTGACGTAAAGTAAGTTTGATTTTTCTTTGATACAACTTTACAATATTCTTGAACAGAAAATAAATTCTTCTTTTGAGTACATGATAATGAGATTTTCTAACACTTGTAACGAGTATATTTTAAGACTATTATCAAGAATATATTTCTTTGTTGAAGAAAACTATTACTTAAAAAAAGAAAAATAGACTGAGTAATCGCTTTTCTTGGCAGTAGAATGATATTTTTCTCTGTGTGGTTAGGTAATATTTATATTAATATTTATGTATATTATCTGATAATATTTTTAACAAGTAAAAAGTGTATACCATATGCTCGGAAATTATTTTACAACAATTTCATTAATATTATCTCCTGTATATTATAAATTTAATCAATTTAATAGCAGACGAGATTCTTAAACAGAGTAAAGCTTCTTTAAAACATTGCACTTTTATATAGTAATTCGCTCTATCAGTATATTTAGAATGCAGTATATTCAGTTCCACGTATATTTGAAAGAATGCGGGAATATTTGTCAAGATCAATTTCTGATATAAATAAAATTAAAATTGAAAACAAAAATATTACCGGAGCAAGAGATCGGCAACAAACTGATGAAAAAATTATAAATTTCTTATCTTCTTTATTTCTTTAAGTTTCTCCCATATTATATAATATTACATATAATATTAAATATAATTTCTCAATATTATAATATTACATATACATGGAGATAGATTATAATATTACATGATGGAGATAGATCTAATTAAATTCAAAGCTTCGCAAACAAAATTCTATCGCTGCACACTATGATAATGCAATAGCCATTTATGTTCTTGATCCGATATGTTGATTAATCTCTTCATCGGATTATAGTACACACTACTATCTGATAAGGTTCGCCAATTGATCGTATACGTCGGAGCACGCCACGATCTGACTACTCTGTCCACACTCGCCATGTGTTTGCACAAGGTCTTAAGATCCTTGGCGGGCCCTGGTTTGCACGAAGACGTTGATGGACGAGCGTGTACACGCAGATCGGTCCATTTCATGCTATACATCATGCGATAATCGACTTCATAAGAGCAATGTGCGTAGAAACACACCGCCCGGTATCGCGGTATCAGCAATTACTCCGTTTAAGATGTATGCTCGGCACAAACATCATTCGAGAAACTGCATTTCACGAGGCGGAAATGTCGCGACAAAACACCGTTCTACTTAGCTTTAACTTTGTATAAGATGGGTTTTTATTACAGAGATTTTACGCGATATATATTACTAGAAATTGATTTTTAATAATGTGATTTCCGTCTAAAAAGAACGATGTGCGAATAATAATAATACCCTGGCATCATAAATAGAAAATTTTCTGCAAATATTCTATCGTAAAATATATATTTTATTTTCACTCAATTCTAACATTAGTCGCCGATATTAGATTTCATTCAAATTAAGAGCGTAAAATTTTTCCATTTCTTGTTTTATCGCTCCTCAACCGCCAGTATTTCAGTTTCCGTTGTAATATCGCGCGAGGTTTGCATCGTAATATTGAAGTGCAACAAACGACATGCGAATTTTTCTCTTTTTTTTTTTCAAAAAATTCCGTTTTTCTTTCGCATGTAGTTATTTGCCCGAATGACATTTTGAAAAAAATAACACGAGGATATGTTTTTCGCACTACATCGAGCGAATACAAAAATTACGGAATAGCTTGAAACAGTCATATTCAACAAGAGACGTATATAGACGATGATTATCCTACGCAAAAAAAAATTACTAGCAGCACAACGGTATAAAAATATGCGTTTCTGCATATTATCCCGTTGCTGGAGGCAAGTACGTACGAGGCTCGCAATATTCGAGATTCCTCGAATTATTCTATGGCACTCCACGAATGTCATTGCGAATGAATGCATTCACATAATTCTGCGCCGTCTCATAAGCATGCATTATGTGAGTACTCAATTCTAACGAGATGCAGCATTCTCAATCGTTTTTTGAGGTAACTGGGTCAGGCTTAAAATTGTTGGCAACTTTAAACGCATATGCTTAAAGTCTTTCTTTGCATTAATATGATAAAAGAAATATTTTTCTTTTATTAAGAAAAAATTTTTCATTTGTTTAAGAAAATATTACGTTCCTCTCTTTTAAAAAACAATCTATATATATGCCATTTTAATTTCTAGTTTTTAATTAACGTATATTTTCTTTTTTTCTTCTTCAGTTTATATTTTAAATCTCGCAGTTGGTAGATTATTTCACGCGTACCGGGTGTCAAAATTCAAAATATTGTAAACTGTGTTTTTATTTTAAAACATCAACGATGGAGAAATTCGATGTCCACAAAACGGAATTATTCATCGGAAACCTAAAAGGGTGCTTTTATTCGTCGATCGCATCGAATTTTGTGCATCGCTCACGTCGCGTCGGCGAAAAACTATCATCAAGCTGACCTTTTTGCACGGCAAATGTTAAACGATAGGCAAAAAATTGCCGTATTTCTTTCACAAATTGGCACTCGAAACTTCAATCACTAACTATACAGCTTCCAGATGCAGGGCTGCTGGATTACGTAAAATATATAGATTAAAATATATTCATTATTAATAATCTGAAAACTTCAGCCTGAATTTTTATATATTTAAATCGTAATTCGAACAATTCAATAAATACTATACTAATATTGAATTTAAATATAATTGGATATAAAGATTATCGCAATTCATTAGGCGCGACCTGATTGCAGCGCATGTTTTACATATGTATAAATTCTGATGTAAACATGTCGAAATAATTATGATACGAGTAAAAGAGAAAAAAATTTCCATTAAATATTAAAATAATTTCTATCAAATTTTACAAATAAAATTTAATAAAATTTAAAAGTAAATTTGCTCGGAAATGCTTTAGAATTTCAATATGTGGATATATGAATACACGCTATAAATATGCTATCAGTTTTTCAATCATCGATTGTTAGAAAATTATCGCGTTAAATAATCGATAAATAACTTTTCCGCTCGTTGATAATTATTTTGCAAACAAAGATCATTTGTCTCCTATTTTTAATGAAATCTATGTTAACTCAACATTTGTATTTCTAAGATATAATATAAATAATTTACATGTAAATTATAATTTACATATAAAAGAATCACTAATAATATGATTTTAGAAAAGCTTACTATAAGCATATATCTCTCTTCTTTATATTTATGCTATAATTTGATATTATTTTTTATATTCTCATTTTTTTGGTATGATTATGTTGATTTTTGAAAAATGTTAAAGCTAAGCTATTCAATCCTATTCCTTTAACAACGTTAATGTCATATTAAAAGCATCAAAATTTTTAATATTTTTTTAAAAGTTACATACTGTATTCAAATATTAAAATATTCATCGTATATAATACTTTTTGGATGTAAAGAGAGATTAAGATTATGCTAATATATAATTTTAACACAAACAAAAATATAATTTTAACAATATTATAATGAAAATGGGAGATAAGTAGACCACGATAATAAAATTGGCATAAGAGAGTCCCCTCAATTTTAATATAACTTTAATATATATTATTTAACATGTAGTATAACAAGATTAAAAATAATGAAAAGTAATATTATTTTGAAGAAGAGAGAGTTTCATTGATTCTTCTCACATCTCTTTCTCAATATTACACGAACGCGTACAAAAGGAGGAAGAAAAGAAAAGAGAATAATACAAAGATAAAATAAACATTTCAGAGCTGGAGAAGCGGCCGCAGCCGCAGCCGCCTCGGAGCTCTGAGGAGCTGGAGGATCTGCACAAGCTGCTGCACTTCCCCGAGGAGGTGGCGCTCAGGTTGACGGAAAGCGAGTACCAGCTGTTCTACCAGGTACCGCCGCACGAGTATCTAAGGCACGTGGCGCAGGATCAGACCACGTTGCAAAAACCTGCCAGGCCACCCCCGTCGCCGAGTCGCAGCTGCAGCAACCCCAGCACCATCAACAGCTCGACCCAAACCGAGGATGAATCTTCCTGGCCTGTTGTCACAGCGTATTCGACCGTGCAGACCCTCATCAATCGTTTTAATGAGGTATACTAGCCCTTCCCTTTCTTCTACTCTTCTCTTTCTTCTCCTTAAATACTTGCATCCCAAATTGCTTTGCGAGAAACGATAACATAGAAAAAGTTCCGTAAATTCGTCCTTAATAAGCGTAATATCATCATAACATTCGATTCGTATAAAATAAAAAGAATAGTGGCTATTGTAGTAATATATGTGAATCACCATCACGAAAGCTCGACGCTTAGAACTTCCAATCTTCCGCTTTCATCAGGCGCTTTTAATGAGGTATCTACTTCTCGGCTTTTCAGTGGCTTTTCGTACGTTTTCGCCCGACACTTTCATCTACTTACATCATTCTTACACTCGTATATTCGTATACATGTACGCGGATATCACCTGACCTCGCTTACCCACCGTTCCACCATCTGCCATTTCCCACTCTAAATTCTTGTACAAGGTTGAAAACGTCGGATTTTCCATTTCTCTTCTTTCCATGCCGTTCTCTTTATCACTAAACTAAACAAAAGCCTCGGGGACCGCGGACGGCGTTGGAAAATTCTGAATGACATTCTTCTCAGGAAGTTGCAACGTTCCCCGACTTCCTCGCAAAAACGATCTTTTTTATTTCATTTTGTGAAACTCAAGTAAAACCCAATAAAAAATCGAGCTAACGAAGTGTTTAATATTTCAATCTTTGCTATTGTCATCGTGTTAATTTACATCCCTCGTATCACTGAACTGATGGTTGAATGTTTCTAATGCCATCTCTAATTAAATCTGTAACTAATTTTAATAAAGTGACTCACACATATCGTTTAACACGTTTCGTAAAAACCAAAAGAAATAAATCGTGAATTAAACATTTATTAAATTACACGATTACGTAAATATGGATTGCGGCCAAAAACTCACATCGCAGATGCATTATTCAACCTATTCAATTCAACGATATCAAATTCTAATTATTATATGTAAAGTGATAGTATAATAACGTGATAGTATAATAACATGATTATTGGCAGATGAGATAATCATTATTACACACTTGTTAATCATTATTACACATTTGTTAATCAGGTAAGCTCATGGGTCACTCACGCGATCACCAGCGGTGCTACGATAGAAGAACGACAGGCGGTGCTGTCTTGTCTTCTACGAGTTGCGCTAACCTGTTGGAATACCGGAAACTTTAATTCAGCCATGGAGATAATCGCCGGTCTGAAGTAAGTATACAACATCTGCCATTAACGCGAGTATCGGCGTTAAATCTCACTAACTTAAAAGATCAATCTTTGAACGGCTATCTCTTAGTTCCTGCAATATTCACTTTATTACGATCCATAAGCCAGCCTTATGTATGCTCCAACTAAGTACGAAAGTCGTAATATAATTTCTTGTTCTCGCACCGCATTACGGAAGTCCATCCATCTTCATCCTTGCGTAAGTATCTAACCGCAAGGACAAAGTTGTTGTCGGCACCGATAGATCATTACGAAAGACGACCGCAACACGCATCCCGTCACCCTTAAGTTTTGATCGGATTAAAGACTTAACTGCCCGCTGCCGCGCGCGTACGCGTAACTATAATTATATGGTGTCGCATTATAATTGGTTAATTTATTGAATTAACACGCACGAAACTCGAGAGGATTTTCAGAGAATTTTATGTTAAAAATTTTAAGAATTTTGTATCAAAAATTTTATTTAAGTATTAAAATATATTAAATTTATATTATTTTCTCAACAAAAAATTATGATAAATGCACCGAATATAAAATTGTAATGTAATATTTAACCAGTTTAATCGTCTTAAACAATTTCCACAGCTAACAGGTTGAAATGAAATTGTTATTTTAATAGGATTATTTATGAAAATTCTTCTTCTTGAAAAATTACAATTTTCTCTTGCACACGCATATTTTTGCAAATTTGAAATAAATAAAATTAAAATTTTGAATTGCACACGTCATAGGAGGTAAAGATTTGTAAAACATATAATCTCCAACAGATTTGTGACTCCGAACTCGAGACTTTTTTGAATATGTTACAGGATATTGCGACTTCCGGAATCATGCTCATTCAATTAATCTTTTTTTCAATCTATAAGTAATCCTGGATTCACATATTTTTCTATACTGAAACAATAAACTACTTTTCTATTTGAATTTATTATTTCAAAGATAAAACAAACAATCTGAATACATACATGCATAGATCGAGTTTTGTCGTAAATGTAAACTATAAAACTAATTAAGGAAAACTACCCTAATACTAATGGAAAATAGCAAATGTTTAATTTTAAGAGCGTTTGTAATTGTTTATAAAGCAATTATTTAAAAAAACTTTGCGCATCTTTTTTGTGACGATTGCATGATTCACGCAGTCTTGTAAAATCCATTAAAAGCTCAATTAAAATGGTTTACTTTCTTAATAAGCAGGACTTATGAAGTATTACTTTTTGAATGAACCATTCATTCTTGTGAGAAAAATTATTTTTCGCTTGGAAGATAAACTTAAATAACATATAAACAAATTCAGAAAATAAAACTCTATCGATAATAACTATATATTTAATATAAAAAAATAAAAGATGTGTCTTTATTTGCGTATTCTCTTATTGCACAATTGCGTTTTGAAAAATTGCACAGAATTTTTGGAAAATTAATTTAGCAAAAATGTACTTTCGAAAAATATCAAAGCATCATAATAAAGATTTACATTTGCAGATATATAGTAATTCTAATGATTTTTATAGTTTAACGTGATTTTAACAAATAGAAAATCTGAAATTCTCAACTCGTCGTTATCTAAAGATCCATGTATGAAAGGATCCATAAAGCGAAATATTCTCATCGCAGTTCAACTTTTTTAGAAATATCCGCGTTTTTTAATAAAAAAACTTCTGATTCGTTTTGACATAGAAAGGTATCTTTTTATTAAGATACGTATTATATTAAGCAACGTGCTAATAAGTGAAACAGTAAGACACTAAGCTTCTTAGTTGTTATACAAGTATGATATTAAATTTCGAACTTTCATCGATAATAACTTATCGCAATATCTCTAGAAATCGGATCAATCCGTACTTGATACGATTACAAGTGAATTTCTTTGCGGAATGAAGTTCGTATTACGCAAGCAGCGATCTACGAAATATACAGATCTTTCCGATAGCAAATCAAAGACTATTCAACAAGTACTCTTACTTTTGAAATGTATCCTCTCTATTATACATCATTGGACAAGATCCAATCTTGACAGAGATTTAAATCTCTGGAAAATAACGATACTTTTCGAACTTTAGAATCTTTGATATTTTTGCAACCATGTATATGAAATTTGTGACGAACGAGCGATCAAAGATGCTTTGTCCACTCAGGCTTCCAGTCGATCGTAACCAGTCACTACAGATTTCCTACATCATAAAGATGCATCCATCTCATAAAATATTTATTAGAATCAAGTATCTTTCGCGAATAACTCGATTTACGCAAATTTGGCTTATGAACATTGAGACATACTTATTCTAATTGTCATTCCTGAATATTATCTTCGTAAAATTTCGATATTTTTAATATCGCGTCTGTTTTCCTGCCGATATTACATTATTTTCCGCTTGGAAATTAAAGTCAATAACTGTAATTTTGTTAGATTTTAGTGAAATCTGAAATTAGCATAATTGCATCGATTTCAACCCCCATTCTTCATCTGCGTTTCATTGTTGTTATTCAGATTTGATTGCATTATTATTTAAGTATTTTCGAACATGCGTGTGCTCTCAATTCATATGTTTATAAAAGATTAACATAATTACACATAACATTTCATATGAATTATATAACTTGACTAGCAATAATTATTACGTAATTTGTATATATATATACAAATTTCTGCTGTATGTATACAACAGAACTTGGATTTCAAGTGGGAAACCGGAGAATGTTCATAGCTTGATTGAAATACTTATACCAGACTCCCTTTACTCCCTTTACTCCCTTTGCTCTCGGCTGACGCATAAATGTTATGCGATTTGCTCCAGGCTGTGTTCTCATACTATACTATAGCACTTTACATATCTTATCAGAACAAGTGATAGTAAGTGTATTATTATTAAACCATAACACAAGAAATATGTCATTTGCTAATTATAACAAAACTCATTGTGTATAAAAATGTTTTCCCAATTGTAAATTGTTACTTAATATTTATTTACTTATGTACGTAATATTAGAAGAGAAAAACCTTTATACCATTTTTAATTTCAAATCCTTAGAAGTTTCTCACTAAAAATGTAAAATAAAAATTTTTATTCGCAGATATTTACTAAATTGCTTCTCTTTATATTACAAGTTTATATTACAATTTAAATAAGATTTTGGCAAATTTTAGAATAATAATAATCTAAACCGAGATCAGAGCATGTCTAGATGTTTGATATTCATAAAAATTGATTAAATTATTAAATTATTATGGAAAAATGAATTCTAAATTAAAATTTTAATTTAAAAAATACGCAAAAAGAAAAATTAAAAAAGAAAAAAACGGTACAAAGTAGAGTACACGATATAAAGTAGAGTGTAACAAAAATATGCTATAACATAAAAATATAAAAAGCAACATATGAATATTCATTTTATACGATCGGTTTATTTATTAATTATTTAGATGATAATTACATTTAACGTAATTTATTGTAAAATTATTTACTGAGAATATGTATGCAATTTTCTTCTACAAACTATTGGAGCCACAGAAATTCAAAGTAAATTGTTAATTATACATATTTCTTTTGGCAGGATTTATGTTTCGTCGAAAAGCAAGGTGACTTCGTGATAATTCGTTTTTTATTGAGAGTACTCCGTAAAAATTTTCTCAAACACTACGACTATATACATTTCATTCTGCGAATATTTCTCGACTCAATGCCCATCTCCCGAACCGATTGAATGACGTAATCGCATTATTTCGTGAAGAAGTTCTTTCGGAACTGCGACCTCTTTCAATCCGATGTCTCGTGAGAAAAATGGGGTGATCTCTCGTTGAAAAGTAAATTCAAGTAATGAATGTGTGTCATTAATTTCCTAGAAATCAACGAGTACAACCAGTTCGCGCATTCGCCCGTAAAATCGTTCTCTTACCCGTTTAACAATTAATTCTCGCCTGGCGCAAAGGAAGTGTTGAAAAAAAGTACAAAGCGATATTCGCATGTTGAACTTTTAAAGTTTTAAAGCACAACTCGCGGAAAGTTTTTGAAAACGTATCGCTGTTTTGAAAGGAATTCTTGATTGAGGAAATTTGATTAATCATCGTACTTTATGCTATCGTATCTAAACGTCAAAGCACTATTTTTATTAAAGTTTCACTCGCGAATCTGTTTGTAAATGAAACTTTTTAAGATTATATTTTGCATTATTAATTTATATTTTTATTACGCACGGTCACAATATACAGGTATTATATGTAAAGATGTATAAAAAGACATGTCATCAAAAACATCTATACCTAAAAAATAATCGATATATTAACTTAAATTAGTTTAATATTGTTATTTGTACTTATTTGGAAGAAAAAAATATTCAAAGAGATTTTCGTAAGGAACAAGCTATTTATATATCTGAACATCTGAAGAACAGAATAAATTACTTTTTATTAGAAAATTTCTTGCCGATTTGGAAACTATACGGAAAATATATTTGAAAATTCTGATCCCAATATTCCACGTGCAAATATAAATGAAGAAAACGCCCCTATGTATCTCAGAAATTTAATTTAAAGAAGAAAATACGAAAGGAACGAAGATCGACTTTACTTCCACTTGAAGAACTCAAGATAGATTGACTTTCTCACGCCATTGATAAATTTTTAATCGATCTCTGTGAAGTAATATACAGTTGTAATGAAATGTATTACGTATCGATGTCGGTAGTTATTGACCCTAACCGAAATACTGTAATAACTATCGTCCGTTCAATCGACGACTCGGAAGCTACGGAGGAAATTGCATCGATGAGGGTAACATCACTGCTAATAGAAATTTCTATGGGGAGAGAGGGGATTTTATCCGCGCCGATTTACGTCTGCCATTCGGTCATCGCTTTCGTCCTTTTCACGGATAACGATGCTCATCGTCATTAAATGTCACTGTGCCTTTTATACGCTCTACGAAACGAACGAATTTTGCCTTAAGTGGTATAGTGGAAAACCTTTACGTTTGTTACCATCGGAAAAAGCAGCGCGGAAATAAAATACTTTTTATTGCCCGAGACCACTGTAAAGCTACACACACCCTGTGCTCGTCCTGCGAATGAGAAGATAAAAGTTTCGTGCGGGAGTATCGTTTTAGAACGATCGTTGCACACCGGCTAACTGTCCTACGTTACTCGGAAACATTTTCACCCGGCATTCGGAGCTAACTAGCCCGCACGTTATGGAGAATGCTTAAAGAGAGAAGATAATTAACGCCGTAGTAACGAACGTTTCTCGATTTTCAACGACCGCTAGTATGCGAGGAAACTGTTTGCATTGAGCGCGACATGTTGTTTCATCCGGGACATCGAGCTTAATTTTGAGAATCGTATACACAAATGTAAATTGTCGTAATTATATTTCGCTGCACACTTACGACGTGCTGAGCTGACGATTAAACGTTTTCTCAATAATTATGCAGTTTCAGAAATATTGATCTTTTAGACTATTATATTATTTAGATTTTTTTTTTTGATATGTATGGAAATTTAAAAATCAAAATTTCTGATTAGAAAATTATATTTTCTACAGGAAAAATGAATATATTATATTTGTAGCTTTTTAATTCTCACTTAAATAAAAAATAAATAAATAAAACAAAAGATGAATATATATATTACAAACATTATAAATTGTTTCAAGCAAACTTATATAATAATGAATTATTATGTTTCCAAGAAAAAAATTTTATTTTTTCTTAAAAGAAAAAAAAATTTATTTTGTTTCTCAATTTTTCCTTTCATTACTCCTACCAAATTAATTTAGTATTCAACTAATTAATGCTTTTAGCATAGCATTAACTGCTTCTGAAATTTATACCTTAGTTGAAATTAAGCTTAGTAATTCTATGAAGGGTAAACTACTGTGTAATGTCGGTGTATAAGATTGAGGTATTAGATGGGAATTAACGTACGTTACTTCAATTGAGTATTACTTAGTCAAAGTATTAAATCTCATTTATAAGTAATACCCGCTAATCTCTTGACCAACAATTTAATCGCTAAATCGTTTACGTGTTTCACAATTTAAATGACATTCTTATACTTATCTTTATTTAATTTATTATATTTATTATATTATATTAATATGTAAAATAAATATAAGAAAAAATAATATATTAAAATAATATATTAATTGAAATTACTGTTATTCAAGTACAATATCATAATATTATTTAAGAGGAAATGACGAAACAAATTTTTATTCTTTAGCAGTTTAATCTTGAATGCCTGAAGAGACGTCTATTGTCTAATCACAAGTATATTGTCTGTATTCCAGATCCAACAAGCTAAAGCCGTTTTGGCATAGCGTGAACGAGCCTATACCGGTTATGGAATATCTCTCCTCCGCTCTTCTGTCTTCCGAATATGAGCATGCACTCGCTCGCGCTCTCGCGATGCCGGAATGTCCTGTGGTGCCATTCTTTGGAGCCTTCCTGCGCGAGCTACGGGAAGTTATTGCATGCGAAACAAAGGTAAATTATTACAAGGACTATCTCATATGTTTTCCTTATTATTTAATAATGCACTTTGTGTGCACTTTGAATGTAAACAAAACACATTTACACGACTAGATGTTCTAGGTTGTCGTTAAATATGTAGATGAAAATCATTTAAATCTGCTTGAACAAACACACTTAAATGCTACACGCTTGTACTCTCGCCTTTTATAAACACTGTGAATAATTTATCGAGTAATTTTGGTTGTGCTACTTCTCCACTAAGAAGATCACGTCAACGCAAGACAACGATTCAACAGACAAGATTGAGTGCATTCATCGACTAGAAGATTAATTATTTCGATAAGATATATAAACTTAGTTTATTCTTTCGTCAAAGTGTATCAAGCACGTGATATACGATATATTGTGAAAAAAGAAGAAGCTAAATCGAAGAATCTGTAAATGATGGAACGCTTTCGTCGAAGAATTTTGGCAATCGGCCAAAGCAATTCACTGATAAAATTCGACGTATCTCCTCGAGTGCATCACAACCAAACCTGAAAAGTCGAGAAAGTGGAGACGGTCAATGATACGGCAAATTTACTCCGTCTCCGTTCTTACTATATATTATGTTAAAAGATAGCAAAAACTTTGTTAAGGTGAATTCATCTGAAGGAAAGGAACTGATAAGAAATTAGAGCAAATAAGAAAGTTTATCAAAACTTAAAAAGGCCTGCATCTAAGTTTAGCCTTTATTTGAAAAGCTAATCTCTTAAGATAAAATCAGAGTATAAAGGAGCTTCAATTTTGTTTTATAAAGATTAAATATATTGTAATTTTTTAATAATTAACAATTTATCAATATAGATACAAGTACATAATCGTGTACGCAACAATCTATCATGCAAAAAAGCCTTGAATCGTGGAGGAGTTTACGCTTCAGGCAAGATTATTTTGAATGGAATCACAGGGAATTGCGCAAAGAAATTCTTGGACGAGCTTTTTACGAAGAATAGCACCGTAACGGAAGAGCGGCGGAGGTTGCGCCATAAAAACGACAAGGAAAGGGGTTTCTATCGGCCTCCAGCAGCTACGATGGTTGTAGGCCGGCGGAAACTACTTGCTCTTGTCGCTAACGATCATCATCGGGAAACGGAATAGCCGCGTCTTCCTTTTATAGCGTCACGCTATTTGATGGTAAGAGCGCATCGTGCTCCCGCAACGAAAATCACTGCTTCTAAGAGTAGCTCATGAAACTTAACTCGCGGAACGAGTCCACGGAGTCGCCGGTTGTTGAAAGTTAAAACCAAGCACGCATTTGGCACCACCAGATTGTGATTAGACTTTCCATTCATGTTAGCTCTAACTGCGTGACAATATGCGAAGTTATAATGTAAAGTATCTTTTTCAAAAGAGATATGAATTATGTGCGAAAGCACGTACTCATTTTTTAAGATTAATTTGTAATGCTTTGCAAAATATTTTTCGCAATATTTTCACAATATTTTCGAAGATACAGATGTTGTTAAACATCGCTTTCCTTAAATATAAAAAAATTGATTGTTAATTTCGAATAATAAAATAATGTTTACTCTCAATTTTTAATTAATAATTTCATATAAATAATTTTGTCAATTTTCAAACGTTGTGCTTTGAAGATACTAAATGACAGAAAATCCAGTCTTTATTAGAAATTTTCAAAATAAAATTAGCGCTATAATATATTATGTAAATCTAGTTATAAATCAATATTTAGCAAAACGCTTATTTGTATTTTTTTTAAGATAAGCATAGATGTATAATAAACGATGAAATTATACACAATCATGCATCATAATAAAACAATTTAAGATTATTGATGTGTACAAAATGTACACAAAATTCACAATTTTGGAGACACAAAGATAAGCTTGCAAAGCAATTATTTGCATTTTGCTCTACTCTGATCGTTAATTATATTTGATTAAATAATGATCGATATTGTGGGAACAAAATAAACGACACGCTTTGCCTTGAGACTATCTATGGCTTAAATAGATTTCGTTATCATCGTCTCCTCCTCCTTATCTCTCTTTCTCTCCAGGAGATAATCTGCCAACCGAACATATCCATAGCGTGGAATGTCGTGGCTGGCGAAATAGAATTTCAAATTGACATCGGCGCGATATTAAGACGCCAAACCGATGTGTAACACTGTTATCCCTCTGTGTTGCTGGCCGCATCTCTCATCGGCACGTAAATGTATACTTCAGGAGAAGAGCGGGAAAAGGAGAACACCGAAGTTAAGTAACACTGCAAAAGTCACTTTGCTCAGCCAACATCACGTTCGCCACGGATAGTCTCGAGCTTTAAACTTTAAAAGACCAAATATTACACAGACACACTATGTGTCTCACCGTTACCGTATTACTATGTTCATATTATTATTTGCGAATGCTAAGAAAAATATTATAAATGACCGGATGGACAATAATAAATGGAACGTACCAGATACCTTTATATGAAAAATTCAAATTAAAAATTTCATTATATTAAATTATATTATTCTATTAAAAATTCTGTCCTAGCTTAATTAAGTTAGATATACACAAGCTTAATTAAATTAAATATACACAGCAATTTTTAAAGTTTTCTTGCTTACAATACATTATATCCGTTATAAAAGAGCGTGAACTTCCACTAACATGTAACATTTTTATGAATATTGTTATCTCGTATTATGAACTTGTAACAATATAAAGTTATGTAAATCGAAATTTTTAAAATATTTAATTAATCATACATCTTGAAAATTAGTTATTTTAAATCTACAAATTTGGATTAAATACTAATTCTTTGAGAAATAATTACATCATAAAATATATTTTTTTAAATATAAGATAAAGGAGGATATTTGGTATTTAAAGATAACACATGTTTTAAAAAAAAGAGTGTCTTTTGAAACTTCAAGTGATATTAAATATCTTCTTTAAAACAGAGAGAGCTTTCCTAAAGTAAAAATTTTTATGATACGAAATATCCCCGACCCTTCAAACATTAAGCTTCTCCCATTTTGCTTGCCTCCCTTATTTGCCACGGTCGATTTTCGATCAAAAAGAGCACCGGCTCGTTTTAATTCTACAACGCGATGAGCAGACTCCTCTATATTCTCCACAAGGGCTCCAAATTAACATCCAATGTATTTTCCTTCCTGGGAGCAGATCGAACAAGATGTATTCGGATTATCCTACTCTCAAGCGTATTCCCAAGGGCTTCAGCATGTTTGTAATTTGGATCGCGCGACTTAGCGACGATGCTGTTCGACGGTGAATCGATCAGCGACGGATTAGCATGGCGCGATAAAGCGAAACAGCATCACTTTATGACGAGGTGGAACAATATACCAATATATTAAGGTTATTGGATAATAATTAATTTATAAGTCACATTAAAGTTCCTGCTATCAGAGCACATTATAGAAGCTAGCTTGCCAAACAAGTTTGCAAACAATTATCTATACGCATTATTTGTATTACTTCGATTCACAAATCTCTTTCCTAAGAAGAATAAATGAAGGAATAATTTTAAAATGTTCACGAGTGTGTTGATATACGTGATATACGAAAGAGAAAAAAATATCAAAAAGAGAAATTTTATTAATGTATCATTAAAGATTCAGATCATTTAACAATTAGAATTAATTAATTTTATTGCACTGTCTATGAAATATAGTAGAGACATTTCTATAAGTAAAAATATGTATTAGAATCAAAATATTAAACATAAGACAAGTCACATTATCAAGTTTTTCTCAGTGCCACTCATAACATTCTAATATCGTTAGAATTTACACTTGCGAAAGAGCCTTTTATGTGTTACTACTTATCGAGATTCAAAGACTAGTCTAATGCTTCGGTCGATGAACACGCGAGATTTCGAGGGTGCATCTCGAGACGAAGCCTTAAACTATTGATTTTCGAAAATCAAGCTTTCTTTGGATACAAACAAAACATTATTACTCGGATCGAATCTGATATCCTTGAAATCAAAGTATTAGAAATAAGACAAGTCATTATCAAGTTTCTCTCAGTGCCACTCATAACATTCTAATATCGTTAAAGAATTTACACTTGCGAAAGAACCCTTATGTGTTACAAAGAGCAGTCTAATGCTTCTGTGTCGATGAACACGCGAGATTTCGAGGGTGCGAGATCTCGAGACGAAGCCCTAAATTATTGATTTTCAAAAGTCAAGCTTCCTTTGGAGACACAAAGAGAGCTTTGTTACTCGGATTATCGAATCTAGCATCCTTGAAATGACAATGTCTCGCTAGTCCTTTCAAAGCGTCGTTATCGTGTGAAACGGTATAATAACATGTATGTAGTGATAGCAATCGTAATTTAATATTCTTGCGAAATTCTGTAATCTAAATTAGGAAACTCCGAAACCGGATGAATTTATACATGTATTAGATGCTTCTCGTAGTTATAGAATATATCATGCATTTTAATCCATTCTGACGTAATATCACATATGTTCATTTCACACGCATATCGCAATAATAGCCTCGCGATTATTGTCGATATTTCTATTATTATTGGTTAATTTTCTATTATTATTATTATTATTATTAGTTAATTATTTTCTATTTGTATGCATTTCTTAACGTTACATTACATCATAAAATTACACAATAATTTTGTGTGCAATTTAGTCACTTTAAATATATTGATAATAACTTATAAAATTCATTTCTATGAAGCTCCTTTTTCATAATATATTTTATAAAAATGTACAGAATAAACATAAAAAGAGATCAAAATATTATACGAAAATGAATTTAAAATACTATATGAAAAAAGTATTGTAAAAAAAAAAAACTACACCTACTGTAAAAAAAAGCAAAACTAACTCAAAGCAAAACTACTCTCAAAGCATTTTTAATATCTATTGGAAATAAAAACACGGAAATAAATTAAATATGCATATATTCAAATTTAATATTTTTTTCCAAAATGCTAAGCTTATCTCTCTATTCTCTTCTAAAAACAATTTGTTTATTTTAACTGTTTATTTTAACTGTTTTTAACAGCGTTTCAATGTTCATATCTATTTTTTTATTTTTTATATGTCAGTTTTTATATCAATTATAATTGCCGGACAACGCAAAGCTAAATGCTTTTTTATAATACAAATAAATTTTATGCACGGCAAATATTTAGTCGAAAAATTTCTGATGACTTATCGTCTTGATTTATAATGTTCCAGCCCCATTTCGAGTTTAGAGAAAATCGCGAGTCACCACGTGCTAGCGTTAAAGAAAGCGAACCTCAAGAACACGTGCCTTTGTCTGCGCCGGCCGCCAGGATCGCCGTCGAGAGTAATACAGAGACGCCGTCAGGATGGAGTTCGAGAAGCGGTTCCTTGAACAAACCGGACAACCCCATAACACACGACACAAATTCCGTTCTTGACAAAGTCGCCCTCTTTCACAAGGTAACTCCAACAACAAAGTGTACGTCATTTCACTAAGATTCCTAATAGATCATCCTAATAAGCAACGTTACTTTAATCGCGGTTCTCTCTAATTATACTCGCATAAGTAGAAAAAATGCAAATGTTCGAATAAACGAAACTTGCTTGCTTTAAATAAATATCATTACGTGAATGCAATATTAGATTTCAGTAATGTAAAAAAGTTTGTTTTAATAATGTATTCAATTAATAGATTTATTAAAAGAGCGAAAAATATCATTGGCATTTATTACAGTGATTTTTTTCAATACCTATTAAAATGTAATATATTAAATGTTCAATCTAACGAGGGATTAATTTCTTTTTTAAGCATCGGCATGCTCGTGGCAGAGACGCGACTACCGGTTCCCTCCATCGCACCCTGAGCGTTCACACGACCGCGATCGAGCAAACATATATGGCAGAGGAATGCGATGAGAACGATTATCATCTTGATTTGGACTCCTACAAGCCCGTACAACCGATCAAGATCGATCACGGAGTCGCTTTGTTTCCCGTTGCCGCGCCACACACCGGCATGGATCTCCATCTCCTGCAGGTATGTTGCTTGCATTCTGCAAATAATCTACACATTTCATATTCGATATGTAGGTATCGTATCATAAAGGAATCTCTCATACGCGGCCAGCTTCGTAATTATATAAATACTTTTACAAATTGCCGATTTTCGATTTCCGTTCTATAAACAGATACGAGATTTTTACTAATACAACGAAAGATAAACATTTTATAACCAAGTAATCACTTCTCTTTACTCAAATAATAACTCAGACCATATTATCGATTAAAGAGCATCCGAAGGAAGATAAAAACAATTTTAAGAATAAAAAAAAAATACAATTAATAACAAGTCACAATAGAAAATATAGAATTAAAAACAGTTATGATAGAATTTTCTATTTAATTTATTGGAGACTATGAAATCGAAAATAGTAAATCTAAAACACATTTCTTGTGTATTCTACTTGAAATGTATGGCAAATTGCTGTGTTGCAACTTAATGAAATTTCACGTAACACTTAACGCTACGAAGATTCACAATGCAATGCAGTTTCCGCTTTAAAATGACGCGCGACATTCGTTCGCGCAATGTCGCATCCAGACTACTCATTGAGAATGCATACGCATGTATGTGCACGCACGCACACACACACACACACACACACACACTGTCTGAGATCGTTTTGGAACTGAGAGACATTGCGTTATACAACGAAACTGCCAATTCGTATACGTGACATCGCGATACTGCACGTGGAGTGCATCGCAAATATTGGACGCGCAGGATTTGTTGCACAATGCAACGCGATGTCGGCGACGCTTTTGATCCCGTCGTTCTGTTACGGCTGCGGTAGAATCGGATAACGATGTGCAGTAACATTGACGTGGTTTTCCGTGCGATCTATATCGCGTCGTTTAACAATGTGCCATTCCGCACGTAATTAGTAAATTATGCATCATAAAAAAATCGTTGGACGATTCTAGCGTCGTTCGTTTACGATATCTCAGGGAAGAATATTATCGCATGAATTATGCGATAATAAGGTAGACTATCTTTTATGCAAATAACCCTTTAAACTGCAATTTCTTCCGATAGACATTATAAAGCAATCACATACTTATCATTTTTTGGAAAATATCGACATCAGAGTCTCTCTTCCTATCTAAAATAAATTATATTGTTCTATTCTAATTTGCTAGCTCCGAGATAAAAATGAATTTAATACATAACATGAAGAAATCTATATATCCGAAAAGCAAAAATTCAAATATTATCAAATGGAAAACGATATCATATTTAAAAAGAGAAGGATCTTTTATATTTCAAACCGTTCCATGTAGTTAAATAAGATATAGCAGGTCATATTCATGTCTATTATTAATCACAATCGATACAAATCTGGAAATAAACTTAACATTTTCACGTATATATAAGCTATAACATCGCATTTAGATAAAAATGATAATCTAAAAATTTTAAAAATATCAATTTTTTGAACTTGATATTATACAAACAAAATATAAAAAAATATTGAAAATTTTAAAATATTGAAAATATTAAAAATTTTCAAATTACGTATAAATTGTAAATTCTAACCGATGTAGAATTATGTAACTATTAGAAACGGTCCGAAAAATACGATTAGAAACGATCCGAAAAATACGATTTACATTTTCTTGTTATTTAAGTATATGTGACACAAAAGAAATTCCTGTCGATTTTTCATCATGAAATTCTAAGACTTTGAAATTTAAATAAACACGCATTTTTTTCTTTGATATCAATACCCGAAAAGATACAATGCTACGAGATCCTCAGATCGTTTTCCGTTGGAGCTATGTAAATCACAAAAGAAAGTAAAGGCAAGATATTGATCTTTTATGCGACTTTTTGATATTTTTTTTCATGATACAGTATATTATCGGAATTATAAGGGATAAATAATTCAGTTTTGTATAAAAGTACATTAAAATTATATAACGTAGATTATCAAAGAATATCAATACGCGTGGGATAAGAATATGATGGAAAGATAGGAAGAGTAAGAAGATATCTTTATGCTGATGTATCAGCATAAAGATATCTTCTTACTCTTGTGGATGGCTTCGAAATATGTATTAATGTCACGGGGTTACGTTGCTTTCATGATGCTGTGCTACTGTGATAAGAGATACCGTCAGCACGTAGATTGTCGCACGTCAAAAGGATTTCAAAGGGACCGGCCTTACGCCCATACTCCTGGTATGCCTCGCGGAAATTAGAGAGAACATAGAGAAAATATGGAGAGAGAAGGAGGAAACAAGGGAGAAAAAAGCAAACTGACGGGACCGATGGGAAAAAAAGTTGTAACGCAGTACGAAAAACCGGGTCATTCTTTTGAATCGTGCCACCAATTGTCAGCGTTAATTGAGTGGCAAGAGGAAAAAATAGGACATGACATATTCGCGGAGAAAATGGTTCATAACGAATAAATTCGTTATCCTCCTGTTATGAAATTTCAGCACAATCGATAATCCCGAGTTTCTCTCTGTTAAATTGTTAAACAGCGTTTTTTCGCTAGATACATAACGGATGATCCATCGAGTGAGATATATAGCTTTCAGGAAGAGGTTACGCAATTTCATCCGATTAATTCTTCTATGATTGATAATATCTCGTAAAAATAATTGATTTAGTATCGACAAAATGAGAAATATAAGCAATAGCCAAATACAGTTATAGCCGCTGTATGTGATATTAATAATTGTCACTCATTGTCACAAATAATCTCAATTATTTTCATCAATGGACCCTTTTATTCTGAATTGATTTGTTTTTAAAAAAATTGGTTTAAAAAAATAACTACATTTTATTTTTAACGTTATATATTTTGGCAATTCACACATCTTCAAAGTAAATTAATAAACTAAAATATATATTTTTGAAATATTTTATATATATTCAAATACTTTGTTATTTTTAACAGTTAGATGAATGCCAAACTTTAAAATTTACATTAGAATTAACATATTTCTAATAAACCATTATAAAAATTATAATATTCTAATATTTAAACAAAAATATTCTGCAATGAAGAAATATTTTAGCCAAACAAAAATCTAAAGGATGATTTGGCGAAATTATAAAAATAAAGATGAACGGAGATGCATTTACGATATAAATTAAATAAACTAATTAAATTAATAAAATATTCATTTTTCTCTTTTATTTATATCAATATCCATGAAAAATTAAAATTCACTAAAAAGAATGGCGATTATTGAGTTTCGATACAGATATAAATTCATCATCTGTTTCTATGATAATGAAACTGCGATAATTGTACGTAAAATATTAATATAATTTTGCCATGTACCATTAAACTCATCAAAATTTCAATATCTGATATCAATCTATTATATTATATTTTTTCAATAATATTTAAAATGCAGTATTCATTACAATGTGTTATATATATCGAAATGTTATGTGAATTCAAATAATTATCCATCGACAAATAAGCGATTTCATGCATACACTCAAGCGTATATATGTGTAATAAATATCTGTAATGTATTCAGTAGAAAGAGAAAGAAAGAGAAAAGACAGAGATGACCGCATAAACGTTGCCATAAGTGCATTACAGGTCCCATTAGTGCTATAAATGCATCTACAACGTCTCTAATACATATTTTGTTGAGGCAAGAGCCCGGTGTGACGCAGTTGCGAAAATGACCTCGTAGCAGCGAAATATCTTGCACGCTAAAATTAATATATTTATATTTTCCGCACAACACAGACGCCTATGTCCTATTTTTGGAAATAATATTACGACAATGAAATCTAATTGTATAAAGACCAGCGGAGTAACGATTTGGAACGAATTCATAAATATAAATATCACAAATATCATAAATATAAATACCACAAATATACAGGGTGTCCCAGTTATCTCCCGTCATCTTTCAAAGACAGATTCCTGTGATCATTTGAAGACGATTTTTCCTCAGCGAAAATGTCAATGAAGGCCATCATTTTTTGCATGTTCCCGATTTTTGTCATCATATATCTTTGCAATTAAGTCTTAAATTAAAACTCAACTAAAGTAAACCCTATTTAAAATTAATCGAAGAATGTGATTTTGTTAATATTTTATTTCTACAAAATTTACAATTAGTTTACGATAAACCCCTTATTTCCAATCACTTATAATTCGAAAATTATTAGTGCCTCGACATTTTCATTGAGGGAAAATCGTTTTCAGATGATCCCAGAAATCTGTCTTTGAAAGATGACGGAAGACAACTGGGACACCCTGTATATCTCACACGAATAATACTTTTACTGATGAATTATTTCCTCCTCATTTCACACAAGTTTAAAAAAATTATCTTTTGTCAAACTTTAAAAATCTGTGACAGTCAAATTGATGTAACGTATAAAACATATTCTAGCAATCGAATATCAAAACTGCGACATCTATATTTTCTATGTATTAGATTTATATTTTCTTTCTCTAATTTTCATATCTCTATTTCAGATATTACATCACGGCACGACTTTGATACACTGGGATTGCGAAAGTGGTACTTCGAGAACGGCGTTGGTGTTCGCACGCGTTGATCGCGCCTGCAGCACCTTCGTCTGGGAAAAACCACCATGGAGCCCCCTGAAAACTGCGCAAGTCGGCGGTACCGCTCTCACAGAATTTTCATTGACCTCGAACCCGGAGGACACGGTACGCCCGGCAGGCCTAGTTAGCAGATACGCGCAGCAGCCAGCCGATTGTGCTTCTGTCACTCTAGAAGAGGGATATCTTGATCTGGGATCGGTGAAGGAGATAATGATCGGCTGCTGCGACCGCGACCGAGAGGCTGATCTCAGGAGCATCTGCAAGAGATACGGCCTACCAGGCTCCGACTCCTGTATCGGCCTCATGTATGGATCGAATCTTCCGGACAATCGACTGATCTTCTTACTTTGTCCCCCCGTCCTTAGCAAGTATGTATAAATTTCTAAAATAGATAATACACATAAGAAGTATTTGTTTAAATCATTTTAATGTTCTATTGAAAATTAATCAAGTATTGTGATTAATTTTTAAATGTTTCTCGTTTTATTTTAATGTAGAAACAAAAAATAATTTAAAATTTGAATTTTATATAATTTTAATTTTTTGAACGACAAAAATCCCTCAAGTATGTTTAAATTATTAATGTTAAATTATTAAAGTTTACATGTGCTACATGTAAACTTTAATAATTTTTTCTGTATAAAAGTTCATTCTACGCATAAATCAATTAATGCAGATACATTAGCATAATTAATGTATTTTTAAAACGTTGGCCACATTAATAATATATTAATGATACGTTATCGACAGTATAACAGTACATTATCGAGAAATACATTACATATTAATAATAACAAGTTGATATCACTTACGTTTCGTGCAACTTTATTCTCTATTCTCTTTAATTTACGAACTATTGTTGAATTATATTCATTTTATATATATATATATATATATATATATATATATATAATTCACACAATAATAATTTTTGTTAATTATTATATTAAATTATATATAATATATAATTATATTATGTAAATATATATAAATTATATATAAATTATATATAAATTATATATATAATATGTAGACAATTTTTTTACATAAATTATGTGTAATCCGCATATACACCGTATTTCAGAATATGGTACATGGGATTATGCTGGATATTGCGAGGCCTCAAACGACAACAACAATTAACAGATCGTAGATCACGCTGGTTGAAAGAAAAATACCTCCAATTGTACTTTTCCTACTTCGAACAACCGATGGAAGGCTTGGAACAGCCTACAACAGCTGATGCTATACGTGTTTTCGGCGGTCGCGATTGGTCCATGACAGAAAGTGTTGGTACACTATCTCCAACGAGCAGTAGCACTTTACGCAGACGAAACGTTAAAGGCAAAAAGACGAAATCGATTGGCAATATACATGCTTTAACCAAGGTTTGTGTAGATTTGTTTCGCATTTCTTGTATGAAATATAAATCAATCATTCGTTTGCGGAAATATTCATACTTTATTTTCGTGAATAAATATTCATCGTACTAAAGAATTTTTGATTTAATATAGGATTTGAGTCTAAAACAATATGACTCCTCGACCTCGGATGGAAGTCTATCGACTACACCTCTTCGTCACATTACGGGGAGTAGAGAATCCCTAACAAGGATCCTACCTGCATCGCCAAGAGCTAGTCGAGACCGAATTCCACCGCGTAGTCCGCCCGGTTCCGCTGATCGTATCGTTTCTTTGCCTTACACCACTTTTCACAAGTACGTCGTTTTTTTAATAATAAATTCATTTGAAATTTTTTTTATTTATCGGAGAGAGAGAAAGAAGGAGAGAGATTTCAAACAAATAAATTTATATACATATAGTCCGAAACATACAGAATAAACTTATTAAACAATTCAGATATATAATAAAAAATGTGTGTATCAAATATTATTTCAATATAAATTTTTATAAATATTTTTTTATTTAAAATAAATAAATTATATATATACATATATATATATATATATATATATATATATATATATAATTATTCAAATTATGGGTCATATGTGAATAACGCGTGCGTAGTCTGTTATGTGTTGCCAGAGAAAAGGACAAAAATGGATCCGGTGGTATACCTGGTGGGTCAGAGGCTCCTTGGCAGGTGAAAGCGCGCACCACTTCCATCATGTATGAAACGCAATTAAACTTTGTGGAGTTTGTCGCGCTTTTCCGATCATTCAGTTTACGAGCTAGGAAAGATTTGCGGGATTTATTCGGCCAATTAGCGATCACGTGCCGCAGCCAAAGTGACGGATCATTAAGAGACTTTAGCATGCGTCCAGCGGTACTCAGACAGACCAGTGACGCTACTCCGCAAAGAATCGGTAAGCACGATAAGAATTAAATACTGATATATGATTTCAGTGAAATTAAATTTTAATATAAACATATAGATGATCCCTATCGTTACAACAGAAATGCTAATCAATTATAATTGAGTGTACTTATAAAATAATAATTTCAAATAAATCGGATATACATTTTTTTTCAAATTTTATTGTAGTACTATAATATATATTAATTTATTATATAAAAATTTTTCGGAAAACAGAATTTGTCGTATCGATTTTAACTTCAATATAAACATGACTTTTAGATATTTAATATTCATAACCACATTAAAATTAAATAAATATTTAAATATTTTATTATCTATAAATGAGAAATCAATATTTAAATTACCTGTGCCAGGTTTGCTGACAAGAAACAACTCCATTGACTGTCATGAATATAAGACGAGCAGCAATTTGCAAAAGAAGCAGATCTTCGATGCAGTCGCGGCGGCAAGCATAGTTAATAATTGTTCCGGCGTGGACACATCAAAATCTCAAGTAATCACTCTGGCGACATTTACGAAATTTCTGGAATCTCGACAACAAGAAAAATTGAGCGATGAGGAAATCAAAACGCTTATTAAGGTAAATGCTTACTAGATTTAAAAGTTAGGAGTTCACATTTTTTTTTTAAATTTAATTTTAATCTCATTTCTCCGATATCTCTATTCGCAGAAATTAATATTTTAAAAATATACGAAATTAATATCCTGATTAATATACTGCGTACTAGATTGGATATCTGTATCCAATTTCGCGAAAAAAAATTATTTTCATTGAAGACTGCAATCTGTGTTTTCATATCTAAATAATTAGAAGGGATTTTTTGTTTTCGAGACACTCTTGATTTCAATTTGTCTTGTTCGACAAATAGAAGATGTCAATTTCGCTTACACGACCACCATTGCATTGCAATACATTCGCTCATGTGACCTAATACAATCAAGTCTATTTGCTTTCATTTCAGAGGCACGAACCAGACCCGGCTCTTCGCACACAATGGTGTTTGTCTTTCGAGGGTTTTGCGCGATATATGATGGACAAGGACAATTATGCCTTTCCGAACGAGTACGCGACACCGTCCGAAAGCGAGATGCAGCAGCCCCTGTCGCAGTATTACATCGCTAGCTCCCACAACACTTATTTGACCGGACATCAACTTAAAGGAGAATCCTCCGTGCAATTGTATTCGCAGGTGAATTGCTATTTTCAAAATTAAATTTTGCAAAATTTATTCATTATAATAGATAAATTTTGTAGAATTATCAAGGACGTGTGAAATATTTTTGCTTCGATATCATTATAGCTCTCTTTCATTGCAATCAATTTAATAACAATTCACTATTAATAATTTTGTACGGTATTCAATAAAAAATAAAAAATAAAAGAATATTTTAATTCTACGTAAAGATTCTATATGTAATTAATCATTATCACAATTCAAACGATAACAAATAACATTTTCAACATCTTAAAAATTCTACAAATATATAAGAAATATTTAGTCTAGGAATTTTGAAAAAAATTATAATTTAGAGAATTAATTTTTATTCTGTCCCGCAAAATAATTAATTTTTATCAGAACAAATTATAATTAATAGAAGCAAAATATAATGGCTAGTAATAATCTAATAAATATCTATATAGGTGCTTTTAACCGGATGTCGCTGCGTGGAACTCGATTGTTGGGACGGTGACGATGGATCCCCGTTAATTTATCATGGTCACACATTCACTACCAAGATACCATTTCGATCGGTCGTGGAAGCGATCGATCGAAGCGCCTTCGTCAGTTCCCCTTATCCCGTGATTCTCTCCATCGAGAACCACTGTTCGCCAAGTCAGCAAGCTCGCATGGCTCAGATATTTCAGGTATATTTTTTAATTGTTTTCGATAAATTATTTTCTCGATCATCGTTATAAGTGCAAATTATAACCAAGGAATACGTCGTTTCAGTCCGTTTTTGGCGAGAAATTGGTGACAAAATTTCTCTTCGAATCCGACTTCAGTGATGATCCGCAATTGCCTTCACCTTCGCAGCTTCGTTATCGAATTTTGATAAAAAATAAGAAACTAGTGGTCGACCCTACTGGGCCATTGTCGCATACGCCTCTCAGTCATCGCGGGAAGATGCTCATGTCGGATCGTGCATCCTCCATGAAGCAAATGCGAACAGATGTGAGCAGTACATCGGTCGTCGAGTATTTTAGCGAGGATGAGGACGACGAAGAGGATGACGATGAGGACGATAATATCGATGGTAAAAATAATAGACAATATATTATCAATATTGAAATGTAAATACTTGAAAAAATCTAATCGATAGTAGATCTATGTTTTTCCAAAAAATATCAGAAAGCCTAATTCGTTCTTAATCCTTTTCTTGATTTAGACCTAAATATTCTTTACATGCTACTATTTAATAAACCGTTTATCTCGAAGTTACATAACACAAATACATTTCTCTCGAATTCCAATTTCAGAAATGATAGCAATTGCCATAATTATAAAAAACTTATGGCGAACCATTTGATAATTTACAGATAACTCAATCTCGAGCTACGAGAGGTATCTAGGCGGCAGCCAAGTGCCGCACAGTCGTTTAAAATCGGATCCAGCAGTGGATGACAAATCGCAAAAACAGAGCAGTCAGATAGCCAAGGAGTTGTCGGATCTGGTGGTTTATCTGCAGGCGATTAAATTTCGCGGATTGAACACCGCGCCTGGGACAGCCGTGCCAGGGAAAATACGACATCCGTCGCACTCGGGACCGGTTCAGAGGCACAGTATCGCCGGTATAGGGCCCAGCAGTATAGCATCTTCTTCAGGATCGCCGCAATCTCTTTCGACATCCGCCTCAATCGCGAGCGGTGGTAGCAACATCGATAATATCTTCAGGTCAGTTTCTTAACGGAATAAATGGGCTTAACTGGCAAATCCGAATATATGCCAACAATCTTTCATATTTTCACATTTTTCATATATTTTTCGGAGAATTTTCTTTGCAAATATGTAGATAAATTATATTCCACTTATTTTTAGCATTTCTTGAGGTACTTTTTTGTCACTTCTACATTTTTCATTATATAATTTTTTTTTAGAATAAAATTCTTCTCCTTGCATATATTATTTTTTATATATTCAATTACATATATTATTTATTATTTATTATTTTGCAAATCACATTTCGGCAATAGATATTGTTCAAAGAGGATATTCACGTAGATACGGAAGATATAAAATGTTTTTTTTATTTTCGTGTTATTAGATCCACTCGCGGAGTGCCAGCCTGCTTCCAATGCTCATCTTTGAATGAGAGCACGGCGAAAAAGATTTGTAGGAAGCAACCGTTAGGTGTAGTCGCCCATGCAGAAACTCAACTGATCCGAACGTATCCTGCAGGAATGCGTATCGATTCCACAAATTTCAATCCTGTAATATTTTGGGCTTTCGGAATTCAGATGGTCGCGTTGAATTATCAAACCGATGACGCGGGATTAAATTTGAACGCAGCTATGTTTGAGCAAAATGGGCAATGTGGATACGTTAGAAAGCCCTCGGTGATGTGGGACAAGGGACACATGATGTACAGGTAAATTCACATATTATATTTTTTATTAAATTTGTATAAAGATATATAATAAAGATCAATTTTAATAATTGTATGGAAATTAAATCGCTTGTTTATTAATAAAACTAAATCATTCTTACTGATTAATTTTTCAATTATCGATTAGTGATTCTCACGATCAATTTAAATAAATATATAGATGTCTAAAAATTAAAGAAAAAATACATATAAAGGTATTTTTCTAAGGTATTTTATATCTAAATTATAATTAATAATCTATAAATTTTAATTTAATAATTTTATATCTTAAAATCTTTATTGAAATAAAAGAGACTTAACAATTTTAAAATTATAAAATTTATTACTTTATTTTTTATATTAATTGAAAATTGTTTTAATATTTAGTGTTTTAATATTAAGAGAAATATTTTTTCGCCCGTATTTTTTCGCGTTTTTACTGCATATTGTAAAAATCGATCAATTCGTGAATTATACATAGCGCTTCTATAAAATAAATTATTCTAATAAATTTATTCTAATACATTTATTTTGTAATATATATTATAAAAATTGATCTTTATTATAAGAAATAATGCTTTTTTTATATAAAAGAATTAAATAATAGAATTGCTTTCGATCGATTATGTCAAGCTGTTATCTCGGCAAATTTTCTCTAACAATTGCAAATATCTTGACAGACGGTTCAATCCTTGGGACAAGGAGTTTGATGGCCTGCACTCTGCGCACTTGAGTCTGTCAATAGTCTCGGGACAATACGTCTCACCTACAAACCTCGTCACCAGCACGTACGTCGAGATTGAGTTGGTCGGTATACCGATCGATTGCGCGAAGCACAAGACAAAGGTTATTCATAATAATGCATTGAATCCTATCTGGAATGAGAAATTCTGTTTCCAAGTAATGTTCAAGGACCTCGCGTTCTTACGTTTCGGCGTCGTCGAGGCCAGTTCCCATCATCTCATCGCGCAACGCGTAATACCGCTCAAATGTTTACGACCAGGCTATCGACACGTACGATTACGATCTTGCAAGAACAGACCGCTGGCCCTGTCCACACTTTTCATCTATTCCCGATTAGAGGAGGAGAGCTTGGATTATAACACATGCTGCCGCGATCACAAGGAGTCGTCTAAACGTCTCTCGTCAGGAAAAGAACCCGAAAAACTAAGTACGGTCGATCCCGGCCTAGGAGGTGTCACCTTGAAGCGACGAATGTTCTTTTTGATGGTTTATCACGTGATACCGGACGAGCCGTATACCATTCTGAAAGTGACTCAGGAAAGTAACACGCAAGAAGTGATGCTGCAGGCGTTACAGAAAGCCGGGGTATCGCCCGATCATGTTGACGAATACATCTTAGTGGAGGAAGTATCTCGCGGATGGGAGAAGAGAGACAGGGAAGAATTGCCGACTCAACGCGTACTGGACCCTACCGAACATCCTCTTCAGGCACAGGCCTTGTGGAAAGGTCAAGGTCGCTTCCTTTTGAAGCGAGTGGGCGACGATCCGAGCAGCAGAGCCTGGCTCGCCTCCATCAGAAGCACGGCCGGCCATTCAAAGCTCAATGATTCCAACTCGAGGGACCAATCCACTCACATATGGGACGAGGCAGACACCTTCTTAGTCTGCATCTACAACGTCTCGCCAGAGATCCCTTATGCAATTCTACGTGTGCCGGTGAGCAGCTCAGCGCAAGATGTATTGGCGCAAGCTCTGATAAAGGCTAGAAGAATGGAAAACCCGTCAAAGTTCGCCCTTGTCGAGGAGTTAGAATGGGGCGGCGCCGGTGCTGTCGGAAGCGGAAATCGTCAGTTGAGAGTTTTGAACGACGACGAGAACGTTTACAGCACGCAAGCGTTCTGGAAGACCCTCGGTAGATTCATCCTCAGGGAAAGAGAGCAAGCTATTCCGAGACGGCATCTGTTGCCCGCGACCCTCGACAGACTCAGCAAAGGATTTTCCGTCGGTAGATCGGTGTCCTTACCAGGATCGAGTAAGGAGAAGGTACCGGTATCGGAAGCACTATCGGATCCGACTTCTAGAGGCCTGAGACATCGCTTATTGATATCAGGTCGTAGACGAGAAGTTCATTCCGATGGGGAGGATGCCCGCGAATTCGATATACCAAACGCCGTTCTTCACTTAAAAAAGGTCTCGTTAAGGAAATTGAGAGTTTGGAAATCATAGTGGCAGTCAAGGGCGACGTCGATATCATCGATCTTCGCCGCTCGGAGAAATCAATTATAAGCTTGTAATCCAATAAATACGATCGGAAGCTAATTTTAATCTTGACGGAACGATTCACGCCGCCGATCCTGCCAAGGAATAATCTCAAATGCAAGTAAGAACTTGAGGAAATCGAAGGATCTTACATTGTCAAGAATCTTCGCAATACAAATGTCATGAACGAAGAAATTACAATCAGTAAGTCTTTAAGTTGGATGATAGGATACGATCAGAATATTTAAATATCATCGCGTTACTAAAGAAATATCAGCGCATTTTTATCATACGATATTATACAAAAAAAATAAAACTGATAACTAACAAAAAAAAAAGAAAAAATTTGTCTCTTTAAAAAATATGAAATAATTCTTTGAAAAATATCAATGAAAATAACACAATATTCTTAATTATTCGATTACGTGTGCAATTATCTTCGCACGATATTTGAGCAAAATCTCAGATTATTAAAGTCACTGTCGTTGTAAAATCAATATTGATAAATCAGATTTTCTTAAGACAAATGGGCAGTAGACGAGAAGAAGACTAATTATGTCGTCATTTTTAAAAATTTTTTAAGAGTCTTAATATAGAATATCTGATCTCTCTGCAGCAACGATCGCACAATCATTAAGTGGCAAAGCGACGACTCTTGGGTCCCCTTAATTTTTCTAACAAGCATTAGAAGCCGAGCATATTATACGGACATATTGATTTTGTTGCGTGTGGCAGTAAAAATTCGTCAGACGCAATTTGGCGTGTTAACTGCCGCGTCTGATCGACGCGCTGGCGTGTCGAGAAAAATTAGTGCCACGTCGCGCCTGGGTTTATTATTTTTGTACAACGAATAAAGAGAGCGAGATCGCGCCGCGATCCCTTAAACATTTTACCAAACAACGTACGATTCTAAGTGAAGTAGATCAGTAACATCGCGACATTTGTATGTTAAGACGTATTGGAAGTGCTTCCTGGTTGAACGTGTTTCCGTTTGAAACATATCGGACAGATCTGTCTTGATCAATACCAATCGTATCCATAAAGGAGTCCGCAATTCTTTACGTGACTTCTCATTATTTGTAAGCGCATCGTCTTTATCATTTACGTCGTACCTGAAATGTTTTACATTGATACGAGTCGCGCTTTCACGCGAGGGAGTTACGTAATAAAATTATATATCGCTGTTATCGCACTTTGTTTGATCGCTCTATCAATGTTGGTAACCATTTTTTTTTTTGCATCTAGTCAACATGTGATAAGGAATTTGAGTAGAACCCGATAAAAGCATCGTAATATATATTGAAAGTTGCTACTTAAAAGAGAAAGAGAAAGAGAAAGAGATCGTATTTACTATATATTGTTAATGCTAGAGGGTAGATCGGTGTTGCATTCTCGATTACCACCCCTCTCTCGTAATTGTTTTAGCGAGCGTATATATGTAGATTGTAAATATACGAGACCAAGGAGTGTCGATGAAAATTCGCGTTCGAGTGTGTGCTATCGTTCTATTAAATTATCTTTTTCACGCGAAAAAAAAGCATTCGGATGCGTATTGTCGTACACTCGAAACCGGCAGCCTAATTTTCTCGGAAATAATTTTAATTGCTAACGTTAATTAGCTAATGAAAAAACACAATACGGAACCTGACATTACAAATCAGTGAGGTCGCGAACATCCTTCGCTCCCTGTCTTCCACACGAGTCCTCCGCTTCCCCGAATCGTTTCGAGATATTTTATATTTTCAAGACGCTCCTCTACAGATTTTTTTCAATATGAAAAAACGCCGGATCTTTTTAACGCTACTTAAGAAATATATATTCGATACTTCCGACAAACCTGCATCGTTTCCCGAGATAATTCGCGACTTCACTGGAGACTATATTTTTGGATACTACTTCCTTCCTCCTTATCTTATCTCCTCGAAAATACATATAATCACATATCCACGAGAGACCAAACACAGGAAAAATAAAACGGAATAAAAAAAATAAGAGACGCAAGCATATAGACCGATTATATTTGTACATACATGTATCTTTGAGTAGATATTATAAAAAAAAAATAACAGAAAAATCGTTCGATAAAGTAATCTCTTTAGAGATGGTAGATCGATACATGAACACAATCATCACGTTAGCCACGAGAAGAAACAATTTAATTGACCCAATGCAACTTGTAAATCAAATCATTGAAAAGAAGCGAGACATGGGTCAATTATATTTATATCATGGTATAGCTATATCGTTAAATTGCAATTAACGTACAAAATCACTTTCACAGATATGCGCGCGCGCAGAGAGATCAAACTATAATCAACATCTAATTTGTATGATTATTGTATATTTACTAGTGCACTTGACAATATTGCGAGCGATAAAATATAAATCCGCCACAACTTCTTAACAATATTTTTCGCTATCTCATTAATTCTTAAAATAATATTTTCATATCGAAATATTTTTTTTGCCGACATATTTTATATACAATCTTTCTTTCTTTTTCTCCGAAAAAAATATTTCGCACCATCTAAAATATATTTTTCTCGAAAAAATAGTTTTAATAAATTTATATAAATTTTATTGCACACGTACACACGTACACACATGCATACATACATACATACACACATACATACACATTGCGAAAACAATTTCCTAAATATCGACGGCGAAAGAACTAACATTTACAAATTGCAAAAGTACAACAACTTGGCAAGTGCAACAAGTATCACTTTAACTAATAACTTTCACATTAACAATAAATAAAAACCAGCGAATCAAGTGCATCCCGATATACATATACATATACCGAAACAGTACTTATCTAATATACATATATCAGCATTTTCAAAAAAAAATTATGTACATAGCAGTAACGAACAATGGCTACTAATAACGTTAATTATTGTAATTAATGTTCGACGCTCCTTGGACCTCCGGCTAAACCCCCGCATCGAGAGAATCATCGATTATAAACGGACAGTGTCTATCGAACGTTATGTCTCGGTTGCAAAGGTAAAGATTCGTTGTGCCGCCGTAGGATGTTGTAATACGAGTTGCATGTGATTGCCAAACTCGCCTCCAAAAGCATGGGCGCCGCCAGTGGAATATTAATACCCATAAAATAATAATCGCGTTTTTCCAGCTATTTTAACTTTGACTTCAATTTAATATTTCAACTGCCACGTGAACATTTTAATCTTTCATAATATTACAAATTTTGAAGATTTATAGAGTAATATATATATATATATATATATATATATATATATAATATAAAATTATGTGGATTATATCTCTACTTTATTATCAAAGATATTAATGATAGCATGCTATCTATCCTAGTTATTCATCCATGATAAAAACATGAATAAATGATAAAAATATAAATTTATGAATTCAAGAATTTATTTTGAAAAGAATTATTAAGGCATCATTAATCCCGAAAAAGCTCATAACATTGCAAAATTTAAATAAAATATATTTGATATTATTTTATTATCACTTACATATATTATCATATAAATTATAATTAAATACCAAAGAGAAGAAACATTCATTTCATGATTTCTTTAATAATTTAGTGTGTGAACGATATAATTTAATATTTGAAAGATTTTTTTAGTATGTAAGAAAATTATCTCTATTTTTTCTATTTTAATTTATTCAAAGTACAGTATGTATAGTATGAGAAATAACAAAACTTTAATATGACATGACCATAAAAATAATCAATTAAAAAAAATTATATATTACATTTCTCTTTCTCTCTCTTTCTTTCTATATTATTATTTATTTTTAGATGAAATTTATTCTTTCCTTTAAGTAATGTATAAGGCAAAAAATAAGAGATTGTCGATTTATATATATTCAATGTAACATTTCTTTCATCTTATAATATATTCAACGGCACCCATGCTCGACTTCAACGATTTCAACCCCTCATTCGCCATCCCTTTCCTCTTCGAGGCCGACTTTAAAAGACTCATTGGACGCGTTTAAAAAGCGGCGTGCGCAGGAAACGATTACTTCTTAATATTTTTGGGACCATTCTGATTAAGGAACATTGTCGAACGAGCTCCCAGGAGCTGATCCTACATAAACGATTCAGTATTAAATCTCCTTGTTTCTTCGTCGGTCGGAATTACGATTCGCACGAAAAAAGGAGGAGAAAAAGGCGAGGAACAACGGACAAAAATAGAAACCGAAACAGAGAAATCATCCTCGAGAAGGACGAGCGAAAAACCAAATGATGCTAACGTGTCGGCCGGGCATATCCCTAATTGTACATATCCGTGATTCTTCGATAGCTGTTACGTTGATATAAAAAAAAGCGCGCATATACTTATATATATACATATGATCGTACATACGTATTATTCTCGAAAGGCCATCGAGCCACGCGCTGCATTTTTGTACGTGGCGTATTTCGGAGCCAAAGAAAAAAAAATTATCTTTAATCGAGACGAAAAATGCAATAGATAGTAAATGAGGCGGAGCAATTAAAAAAAAAAAAAAAAGAGAAAAAGAACAGAAAAATTGATTAATTAATACACAAGCGATGCATGTTGTCGCAATCGGGCTGGCCCGACTACGCGCGGTGCGTCGATCTCTAATCGAGATATAAATACGATACGAGATGTCTCTTTTTCATAAGTGTGAACTTTATCACATACGTAACGCATTTATCTTGTAAGCAATTGCTGCCTCCTCTCCCCCCCCCCCCCTCGCCGCATCTCTCGTCGACGGTTTTCTCAAGCTCATCGAACAACAAGATGTATCACTACGACCGTTGGCAAAAATTATATATGCGAGTTAACGAACTATGCAGTAATTAGTTAAATCGCCGAATAAGAATAATTATATAATTATCGCGGAAAGGGATTGTCTTTGAAACCAGGTCAGTTGTCATTTTTTGCTTCCGAAGCGTTCGTCTTGTTTAATGATTTAGCCTACTGTTTAATTAATCAATTAAGTAGTATGTATTTAAATTAATTCGTCGTGTTAAAATGTAATATTGTGAAAAAGACGGAAGAAAACATTGCTGTTTTATGTAATTCCTCTTCTGGGAATATATATTTTTAATCAGTAATATTGAAATCCGAATTATATAATTTTGGCATCGTGTTGACATTTGTGTGTGTGTGAGACACCTTTATTCTATTTCTATTATAGTTAATATAAATTTTCGACGATGTCATCGTATGTGTGTATATGTACGGAAGATTACACTTTTTGTAAACTTCAAATATGAGTTTAATTAATATAAAAGAGAACAGAAATTCTTCTTTATAATCTATTTTCGCTCTATGAGACAGATATTATTCAATAATGTGCCATCACATATTCAGGCGTTACAATTGCCATGATGGAATCACATATGATATTCGAAGGCATAAAAAGTGGACGCAAAAGGTTATAAAGCAAAAAAAATGTTAATACTAAACAAGAAACTTCTTCCCTAGTACGCATACAATATGCCGTAGCATTTCTCTCGTCACATTTAAGTGACAGTTATTGCAAAATAAAAAAGGAGCATTATACGAGTAGCAGCTAACTAAATAGAACTCTCTTTGGCGTTATTATGTAAACATTCGAGTAGCCTCCGTTCTCGTTTCGATAAACAAAAAAGCATGTAATACCCGTTAAACAAATAAAATAAAGCATGCGACCATCTTGGAACTTATAGCGAATTTACCATTACAATAATATATTAATACTATTGACATTGTTGAGGAAAAGGATCTACATGTAAATAAACATAAAGAGCATTTTTATAAATAAGTAGAGCCGTCAAATTAATTAAACAGGAAATTTTTCCTCTTTCTCTCTCTCTCTCTCTCTCTCTCTATCTCTCTCTCTCTCTCTCTTTCTCTCTCTCTCTTCCATCTCCCTTTACATTTGTATTAATTAAATATATATAAATATTATAATATAACTATATATAAGTTTCATATAATTTTTATATAATTTTTTAAAAATAATTTAGTTATGAAAACTTTTAATTCACTATCGTTAAAAATTGTTTTCACTATCGTTCCTAATAAATCTTTTAAATCATTTATAATTTCTTTCAAAAACCGCTATGATTCATTCGATTTGTTTTTAGGAAATTTATATATATATATAGAATAGATATACATAAAATCTGCGAAAATATAAGAAATTTACCGAATAAGATAATGTATGACCGAGGCTTCATTGAATAAACATTTATATTGTCGTTTTAAAATCAATAATATTAATGTTGCTGTTTGAATTATCTCTATATATCGGATATATTATTAATGATTTGTTGCAAGTAATAAAATGGAAAAAAATTAAAATTTTTTGAATTATGCATTCGCTTTAGTAATTATAAATATTTCAATTCAATTTCTTTCTCTAACATTGAAGTTCTATCTTTCTTGCCTTTAAAGCATAATTAGTAAATAAGACGACAATCTTATCAGAGCTCGGCATAGAAAGATGGAAGAAAATATATGTTATCAGTTGCTTCTCTTCATGCTGTTATTAAAGTCACTTCATCGTTGTGCACGATGTCCGTAAGTAAATAATATTCACAATATATTTATTACATTAAACAAATATTATTTAAATGATCGAATGTTTGCATTCGTTTCTGTGTCATCATATGCATATAATTCCACGCATCATAAACTAACACAAATTAAATAATATTGTATATGTGTTAACAAACATGTATTGATTAACTATAAAATTACTTTGAGTTATATGTATCGTATTTATAAACGACATTGCAATAAAAACATATTCTCTTAAATTTTGAATTGACTCACCAATCAGGCATATATACTGCGCCATAGAAGTTCTCAAATTGCCATTATTACTCACTGTAGAATGATTAAAATGATATTCTGAAAATATAAAAAAATAAAAAATAGTAAAGACAATTATAAATATCATTATTAAGTAATATTCTGAATGTATTTAATATTATAAATCATAAAAAAATTCATAATAAAAAATTCATAATAAAATATCTTGTTTAGGATGCTCTTAAAAAATAATTGCCTTTTTTTAAACTAATGTAAAAGTGATAGACTATAACAAATATACAGGATGGACCAAAAGTCTGGATACAGTCGAATATCTCGTATAGAATGCATTTTAGAACAAAATGCTTTAGACAAAAGTTGTAAGGATTAAAAAGATGTATTTAACTGTAATATCGATTTGACATTGAGTGGCATCGCCAAGGTCAGACAAGGTCAACTTGAATTTTTTAAATGGAGCCCCCTATTTTTCAATGCATATTCTTATAGCTTACCTCGAGAGCTTTCAAAACCTTATAATAATATTTTTCCCTCAAGCACTTTTTGAGTTATAAGGCTTGAAATCATTTCTTGATTTTATATAAACCGTAAAATATTTTGTAAAATATTCATTTTTCGATTATTTTACCTTAATACTTTACTTATGTATAAAATAATGAGAGGAATCAATTAGTGTAAAGAAACGATATTACAGTTAAATACATCTTTTTAATCCTTACAACTTTTGTCTAAAGCATTTTGTTCTAAAATGCACTCTATACGAGATATTCGACTGTATCCGGACTTTTGGTCCACCCTGTATATTAAATGATTCAAACTAAACTCTGTTATGAGCATAATAGAGTTGTTTACAAAAGCTATTTATGTTAACGAATGGAGAAGTATGTGTAATTTTTTTATAATGGATATATAATGTGGATATTTCAATATAATAAAAGTTGTAGTGGTGTTAGTTTTTTTGAAATGAATAACGATGTGTGACTTAATAAAACAAAAATATTTTACACATTATACATTTTATTGGCTTGTAATATTTTATATATTATACGAGTTTTGTCGACTTCGAGTTAATAACTTCATTCATTTATATTTTTATTTATATTATTCGTATACTGAGTATAATTAATTGAGTAAATGATTATACAATATACATCAAGTTCATATTGCAGTGCCGAAAGTGAAAAGGTAGACGTCGCCCGTAATATTACAAGCCGATAAAACTTGTATAATATGTAAAATATTTATATTATATTATATCATATATTATTATATTAATTTCAAATAGCACTATAACTATTATTATATCAAAATATCTACATTATAAAAAAATTATGCATATCTCTCCGTTCATTAATATAAATAGCTTTTATAAGCCACTACTATTCCCATAATAGAATTTACTTTAAACCATTTAATTTAATATATATTTGTTATGATTATTTTTCTTAAAAAATAAAAAAGGCAGCCACTTTTGATAGGATACCTTGATAAAGTCTCATATCGTAATCTGTTTATCGATTAAATACACATAAAATTTTATTTTTATGCTGTTTGTACATGCTTGCTTCTTTATTCTTTTAATAAAAAAATGCAAATCGAATAAAATTTGAACGTTAAATTAAAATTAAAACATCGAATTTCATATTTAAATATTTTTTTAAAATATCTCCAAAAAAAGAAAACAGAAAGTCGCTTAAAAGGCCGCAATATGATTTTTTTATACTTTAAAATTTTTATTCTTTAAATAAGAGAAACAAATGTATAGAAAATAAATTAATGAAATAGACTTATATATACATATTAAGATATAATTAAGATATGTCATTCATATAAATAAAAATATAAATAAAATAGAGATTATAGTATATTTTCTATATTATGCAGATAATTAAATTTATAATTACAGCAATTAACATACACCTACAGAGGTCTTATTGTCCCAGTGTTAACACCTTTTAAAAATGATGGGTAATTAATTTATTTCTATAAACTGCTAATTAAATTAAATAATAATGACCAATATTTATTTAATAGATCTCTTAATTTGAATATTATACCACAATATGCAACATATCTGGCAAAAAAAAGAATTAATGGTATACTCGGTAAGTAATTCTTATTATTAAAAACTTTAAATATTTCCCTATATTTAGTGCTGCCACATACATAGTATCATTTTTTACATATTTACTAATTCTTGTAAAATAATTTGCTTAAAAATTATTCAAAGAGCACAGCTATATGACCTCTTATTTTAAAATTATAATATTAATGTTGCATAATTGACATATATCATTTTGCAGTTAATGGTACAAGCGGTGAGGGGATGTCAATGTCTGTTGCTGAAAGAAAACTCGTTACTGAAGCTTGGGTAAAAGCGACGAAAAATACAAAACAACACTTAATGATTCAAATAGGAGGTGCTCCCTTTCCCGATGTAATCGAGCTTGTAAGTACAATATTAATAAATAAATTCCCAATTATTATTTCCAATAATAGAATTATTTTCAACAATACTATGTGATTAATTAATAAAATAAAAATAACGTACGTTTTACAGGCAAAACATGCAGAATCTCTGAATGTAGATTCTATACTTTGTTTACCAGAATTATATTCAAAGCCTACTACTCCTCAGAAATTAATTGAATATTTGGAGAAGGTTGGCCAGGCAGCACCAAATACGCCATTATTATACTATCATATTCCTATGTTTACCAATATTAATAGTAAGCAATCCTTTTTAATATATGCACTATATAAATTTATAATCAATAGATGTAATTGACAATGTTTCTTTAAGTATATGTGTATCATATATAAATTTATTTTTTTAGTACATATGGGACAATTCCTTGAATTAATTGATTCTAAAATACCATCATTTGTGGGTATAAAATTCACTAGTAACAATTTAGAAGAGGGTGCACAAGCATTACATGCCAATAATAAAAAATATGTCATTTTTCTTGGTAATGATCAGGTAAAAAATTAGTCTTAAAATTAAATCTTAAAAAAATTTTAAAGAAGCTAACAAACTCTAGTCGTATATTAATTTTAATTCTAATATAATAAAGATTCACCTTGGTCTTTCTAGCTTGTGAACGCTGCATGTGCACTGGGAATGGACTCTTTCATACTGCTTGGCATAAATATGTTTCCAGAACTTGCACTGGAGCTTCTTGATGCTGGAATAAGTGGAAATATGTTAAAAGCTAGGAATCTACAGGAGAAATTTTCAAGCGCTATATTTGCTATAATAAAACATGGTAAATATTATTTTTTATATCTATGAAGTGTATCGTTACTAAGGATTGATTATCTATCTAGATGCTAGGATGCAGGCTATCAAAATAGCAATGTCTCTTCTTACTGATATCAATGTAGGACCACCTCGTGCACCACTTACTATTTCTCCTGATACTCTAGCAACTCTAGTAACAGATTTAACAAATTTAGGATATAAACCAAATTTACAGCATGATTGAAAATATTTTATTATTTTAACCATAATTGAAAATATTTTATTATCATTATACTGTTTATGCTGACTATTTTATTTCTCTTTATAAAAAATTATCTGTAAAATTACTGTAAAATAATATAAAGATGTATTTATGCTAATGCTAATTAGCATAAAAATTAAGATAAATATACAATTTAAATTGTATTTTTGCTACTCTTAATTATGATTACATAAAAAAATAAATTTTTATGGAATCTTAAGATTATATACAAAAAATTCACATTAAAAAATTCTTACTTCACAACACAGTATGCACTGCTAAATACTAAACAATATATTCACCTGATTTTCATTCATTCTTGATAAACAAAGATAACATAAGGTGAGTTTATATCAGATAAAAAGTCACATTATAGGAGATAAATAATAATTTACGGAGCATAAATGTGTATCATGGGCGCGGGATGGAGAGGGGGAAGAGGGTAACATTTGAAACAATGAATTTGCTACATAAATACACAAATACATACAAATATTTATGTATACGGTATAGAAAATTGTGATTTCTTATTAGTTTTCGAATGTTATAGGTTCTTTCTAACTTATTACAAATTATAATGTTATATTACCTGCAAAAAATTGCACAACGATTTCGAAGTCAACGTAATTCAAATCGCGGTACTTGAATAATTCTCCTAAAATGGCGCCACATCTTGGTTCCTATTCACATGTGACGAAAAGGGAGCGTCCCGTTTGACCACGTTGCGATTGACCACAGCCAATTATATCGACCTGTGCCTAGGGTAACCAGCAACGATTAACCAATCAGAGAGTCCTATTTTGAATTGGCCAATTGGCGACGTGGTCAATCGGGTGCCACCCGACGAAAATTGTCTGGACAAATCATGAGGATCGACCAATGGCAATCATCCTCAGTAATGTATATATCTTATCGAGATATGTGGTATTTCTAGGCCCATATTAAGACGAAAAACAATAAAAATTGTCTTAAAAAATTAATAAATTCCTTTATTATATATGTAATATTAATATTTGTGTAATTTTAATAAAGCACTTGTATTCCTTGTAATTATTAATATAAAAAAAAACATTAAAAGTGGATATTCTATTCCAAAATATAGATCTCTAAAGCTCCGAAATATTCCATTTTAACAGTGGATCACGCACATGTGTTCGTATAGTTAGTTTACGTTAGAAAAAATTTCTCTACCTCTCGTATCAATTTAAATCGAGAGATTGAACTTGAAAGTTTCCAGAACTTGGCTTTTCTGTAGTGTTGCTGAACATGGAACTTCCACGAAGAGTGATAACGCTGTTATAAGACGTCTGATTTATATTTTGTCATCTGTGATTGTGTGATTTGGTTTTTTACATTTAGAAAATCATAAATATATCGGAAATGACTGTTGACAGTGCAATTAGCAATGAACAGGTGATTTTTGTCACGGGAGGTTATGATCACACCATTAAAATATGGCAGCCGCACACAGGCGTCTGTCAACGAACATGTCAACATACGGATTCTGTATCCTTCTCTAATTTTAAGATGACATTTTGCATAATTTTCGTTTTGATGGAATTATATTTGATATGTATTATTGCAACATGTATACAACGTGATATACACAAGTGTATGATATCAAATTATCCTATGTATATATTTATATAAACAAAACTCAGGATTATTATCATAATATGGAAATGTAATTATAACTTGAATAATATTCGTTGTAAAATTCTACATATTTTAACTACTAGTAAAAATTCTTCTATAGCATTTTTTTGGGCTTCCTTAACAAATTTTGTAGCAAGTCAATGCTTTGGACATCACGCCAGACAAGTATGTTGTAGCTGCTGCTGGATATCAACACATACGAATGTATGATTTAGCTTCAAATAATCCCAATCCAGTTGTCAATTATGAAGGAGTTTCAAAAAACATTACCAGCTTGGGTTTTCAGGTTTAATATCAATATTATATATTATTATATATTACTTTTTTTCAAGCATGCACACATGTTACTTCAACGTAATTGATCCAAATCTAAAATATTTTAAACTATATATTATTCTATAAAAAATATAATATTTATATATTTTATAAACAGGAAGAAGGAAAGTGGATGTACACAGGTGGAGAAGACTGCTCTGCAAGAGTATGGGATTTAAGGTAAATTATTTATATAAACAAGGATAAAATTTATATTGAAAAAATGTATGTTCTTAAATTAATAATCATTAAATTCATTAACAGATCTAGCAGCTTTCAGTGCCAAAGAATATTTCAAGTATCCGCACCTGTAAATTGTGTATGTTTGCATCCTAATCAAGCAGAATTAATGGTTGGCGATCAAAGTGGAGTTATACACTTATGGGATCTTCGTTCTGATCACAATGAACAACTGGTATTTGTTTTTTATATTCAGAAATTTAACATTTACATATTCTTAAAATTCAAAACTAGGAATCTTGAGAAAAGTAGAATTTTTTATAATTGCTTTCTGTAATTTGTTTATAATTTTATGTAAGAATGTTTATACTATATATAAAAAATCTTAAAATGTTCAAAATGTGGAAAAAAGAAATGTCTTTTAAAATTTTAAATACAGATTAATTGTTATATATAAAAATTTTGTTATTTATTTTGAGAATATGTTATTTTAGATTCCTGAAGCTGAATCCTCGATTCAAGATATTGCAGTGGATCAAGATGGTTCTTATATGGCGGCCGTAAATAACAAAGGACATTGTTACATCTGGACGCTTACAGGAGGTATTGGAGAGGAGCCTACAAGACTCAATCCTCGTCATAAACTTCTAGCTCATAAACGTTACGCTCTTCGTTGTAAATTCAGTCCAGATTCAACGTAAGTCATTTTCTCATTTTATTTTACAATGGTTATTTCAAATATTACATTATATACTTGTTACACATATCATATAAAGCATCATTTCAAGGATTACACTTTTTTTTAAGCTACGAATATTACAAATCAAATAAAAAGAAAAATGCTTTTGAAGTATTGAATAGAAAAGAATTCAGATTCTCTAATATAATTCAATATAGCTACATGAGGAGTCAAACTTTAATTATTTTAAATTATCTATTAGTCACAAATAAAAGATTGCGCAACAAAAATATACTTAAAGTTTATAAATTGTTTTAAAAAGACTAATATATTCTATTAAATGGTACAGTCTTATAATTTTTCTACACTTTTTTCTAAATAAGATTTGTATTTAAATTAATCTGTTAAGCTTGTTAGTAACGACATCGGCCGATCAGACTGCCCGAGTATGGAGAACGACGGACTTTTCTGAAGTACAAGTGCTTCAGCATGAAGCAAAGCGTTGGGTTTGGGATGCAGCATTTAGTGCAGATTCTCAATATATATTTACTGGTAAGTACCGCATTATTTTTATTTTCTTGACCTATTTCTCTTCTGCAATGTTTTTATTAACGTGCGTAATAACAACTTGTATATTATAGTGGATATCATCTTTTATAATCTGTTTAAAAATCTATAATCAAAATTTTATTTTATGTACTTTGTACTTAATTTGATATTTTATGCAGCTTCTTCAGATGGAGTCGCGAGACTATGGAACGCATCTACAGGAACAATAGAACGAGAATATCAAGGACATCAAAAAGCTGTTATTGCTCTTGCTTTTCGTGACGAAATTGTTTCCGCGAGTTAAAAATAGAAAGTAAATACATAAATATTATCTTTCCTGTTTGCTTTTTGTCAAAAATAATTTGAAATTTCAGATATATTGTGTGTTATTGTTACATATACAAAAGAAGTGTTAGATAATGATATTTGTTTTTTAATACTATATTTATTACTATATTTTAAGATTAAGGATAAGATTGTTTTAAGATTTTTACACTTATATATTATATATTATATCACTTGCAAACCTTTCTTTTTTTTTCTTCTTTTTAAAGAAAAGAAAGTAATAATTGTAAAAATACAGGCTTTGTTTATCAAATATGTATAAAATATATTAATTAAATAATTTAGTTATAAATTAAAATCACTAAAAATACGTTTGCAAAATTTTGTACAGGTCCGGTGATTTCTCGTTTATTCTTGTCTCTCATTTGGTTTATTAAATTCGCAGTCTTAACATAAGTTTACACTTATTAAAGCATATATCACAAAGCAGCATACAACTACGTATGTACGATAGACTCTTAAGTATATGAATGAACAAATATCAGAATATCGACAGAGAACGAAAATGTCCAATAACAATTCATTAAATTATTTCCATTTACATAAATTTAAGAATACATCTTTATAACTTTTCTTTCTTTCTCTCGCATTCTCTCTCTTCTCTATTATCTTTTATAATAGTTCTTGTCAATTATTTCACTAAGATAATAAAACATATTTAATTTTTTTATTTGAATATTTATTTCATTAATTTAATCTTAGAATGCATGATTCATGTTCGATGTTTCGCTTTGTAATACTTATACTCTATTATAGACTATATATAAATACAATATGTGAAATGATCTTATGTATGTGAGAGAAAGAGAGATAGTATTTTTTTATATTATTATATTTCACATTATTTTTTGCAATATAATGAATATTACACTAAGTGATATTCATCCGCTTTCCATCCATAATTGTGTTTCATTAATCAGTTTTCTCTTACAACATTCATGCAATAAGATAATATCTCTTAGATCTGAGTCAAGAAATATGACCATTATTATATAATCGATTTCCTCTATTCTAGCTTTTTGTTTAGTCTAAAGTAGTCTAAAGTAGTCTAGTTGTTAAGTCAGTTTCATTTCTCTTTAAACTTTTCTTTTCCACTATTCATATTTAAGTGTACACATGTTAAAATAGAGGAAATATTCGATTTTAATGATCTTAAAATAAAAGAAATCGATTAAATCATATATTTTTTAACATTATACCTTTCAACAAAAACTATAATAAATTACGTTCAAATAACGTCACTTGAAACTTATGTAATTCTACTCGCAATCTGGTCTTATTTATTTATATAGTTTTGACATATTATGAGAAACTGTTCCCTATAAACATAGTTCTTTTTATGTAAGATTTATTACATTTTTTGTTTTTTTCCTCTTTATTCCTATTTGGAATAGTAGTGTAAAATTATAAGATCATCTTCAAATTAAATTGTTTAAATTGTTACAATCAAACTGTTAAATTGTTACAATCAACTCTTTTATATTTGTAATACTTCTCGATCGATTCAGCCTTTTTTGAAATTTCCGCACTTTCACATTTGCTATAGTGAGGAATGCGTAAAATGAAAATGCTTATGATCAAAATGATATTTTCATTTTATGTATGTGCTATTAGAATAAGACTGAGAAGAAAATTAAAAACAAGCTGGTCGTTTGTCTCTCCAATAAGTTAAGAATATGATTTAATTTTTTATCGCATTCTAAGATTAAAGTGTAAAGAATATCTAACAATTTTATAATTGCACATATGAATAATTGAATCGCAGTAATTGGAATATTTCTCATATTATTCTCGACTTACCGAGAACACGATGAATACAAGTGCATCAAAATCATATCATAGTTATACTAGATCATAGATGAGGCAATCTGTCGACTTCACCCATTTCTGTAAATGTTTCATCGTCCATCGTGTAGCTGAGCATAAACTTTAGATATACAGACTCCTGAAATCAATTTTTCGCAGAAATAAATATGAATTCTCATATTCAATCTTAATTAATTATTCGAATAGTTTATATTTATTCTAAATTCTAAAATTAAATATAAAAAATCTAATTATGTGATTACATTGCAAACATTTCTGCATTTTTGTAAAATAGATTATTTTTTGCTTAAATAAATATATACTGAAAAACTTGAAACTAATAAACTTCAAATTAGTTTTACTAAACATTTTTAATGTATTAGAAGTTATATAAAATTGTTTGATAAAAAACAATTTTATAATTTTATGTTCACACACAAGGATGCAAAGTATTAATATCAAAATACAAATATTAATAACATTGATACAATTTTAGCATGTTTTATTTGGATTAACCGAACTGTAGTACTTTTAAGATTTCAAAAGAAATGTAACTATATACCTTGAAAGGATTTGCAATCAGCATAATTTGTGTGATTGCGGATGGTGGAAGGAATGGATTATGTGCTGGCAATTTTGTTCCAGAAGGTGGTTGCAATCTGCACTTGCATTTCTGTACAAATATTTAAAAAAAGTTATGAAAATATTTATCTAATTTTATAAAAAATACTATGGTATTGCTAGATTTATGAATGTTTATGTTATTTCATTTATATATATATATATATATATATATATATATATATATATATAAATTTATTGTTTGATAAGATTATATTTAGAAATTCATGTTAATATCTTTGATCTACCAAATTTTTTTTTCTAGATTTATATACGTAGAAATTCTTAAGAAATTTAAAATTAATTTTTAATTGTTGGATATAATGTTGGATCTCACAATGGATTGGATACTTACCTTAGGTACAACTGCTTGAAATAAATAATTATTAAGTGGTTTTGCGTTTTTGCTCATCGTAGTAATTACTACTACAGATACATCTGGCCTGGGACTGTCCTGAGCAAAGTGGAGCACTACACTTATACCATTTCTTTCCTCGATTACTGTTAAAGGTGGATTTATACCTGTAAAATATGATTGGTGTTATACGAAATATATAAAAAATATAGAAGAAAAATTAAAAATATAAAATAAAATGTATTATATAAAGTTAATATGATAACCTGGCTTAATATCTTCAAGATTTACAATAATATCAGTTAATGGTTTGATTCCAGCCTCGGTGTCTGCTATTGTTGATGCGCCGTTAAGTAACTGCGTTACTTCTAGCTGCTGCTGTGTGCCCGTTTCCGTATTTTCTAAATTAATATTTTTATTGCACGACAGATTAGCGGTCACGTTAGTTTTTGATGAATTTGAAGCTGTTGAAATATCAAAATTACTATTTGACTCGCATTTCTTTGTATCTGATTGTTCCGTCACGATGTGCTGAGATATATTATTGCTAGTTTCATGGGACCAATTTTGTTTTCGAACAGAATCACTGGTGCTTTGATTTTTTATAATATTATTATTGACTTTCCTGTAAAAATATTATAAATCCTTTTTTTTAAATTAGTCTAAAAAATTTTATATACTACATATATGGCATCTAGGATATCAAAGATATCTAAACCAAAGATTTAAATAATTTTAGTAATCTTTCTATTCTTAGCTTTCTATTCTCTATACACTCTGTTAGTATCTCTAATATTAGTATTCTCTTTTGCACTGCTTCTCATTTTGCTAAGAATATTGAGACTTGCCTGTTATTGCTAAATCCGGAGATAATTTTTTAAAAGGATTTAAAATTTATAGATATGCTTACCCTTGTGACGAACGAGCAATTGTGCCTGACAAGCTTTGCTTAAGTAAAGCTTCTCCCAATTCATTCAATTCTTCCAATGCTTTTGCTTTACTATCTATCTTTTCCTCGCCAGTGTTGGTAACTTCGTCTATGATCAAATATTATTATTTGAAGAAATAATACAGCAAATAAACATATGACATGTAAATTCAACAAATAGTGAAAAATTAAAGGTAAATATTTAAATAATTTAAAAAGCAATAATTTTTTTATTAAATTTTTTCTAATTATTCTTACTTTTCTTGTTCATAGGCGAAATACTGATTGGTTGCATGATGGCATTCGGCATCAAGAAATTTGTGTCGGATTTGACTGGTTTCTCCAAGACATTGAAAATATCTCCCAACATGTCCATATCTGAACGATGATCTGTCGACGTTGTGCTCTGCGTCGTGTTCTCACAGGGAATATTCTCAGTAGGAGACGATAAGTCCAAGAGAGATGATCCATTATTAAAGATTGGTTTAGAAGATTCTGTCGCGGAAGATTTGGAAGATTGCCCGAGAACAATAACGGATGTATATTTTTCGAAGACTTGATTCAATTCGTCACTGGCAGTCAGCACATCACCTAGAGATAAAATGCATAAAAAAATAATTAAGAAAATTGATCATAGTGTGATGAAAGAAAAATCTACACGCATAAAGTAACAAATATTGATAATTGTATAATTCAATTTTTTATATATTATTTTACAAAATGGTTAAAAATCTAAATTGAGACATTTTATTTTCTTATTTTTTTCACTTTTTCTCACATCACGTGATAAGATACTTTCAAGAAATTTGCAACAGACTCTCTTGAAATTAACAATCCTTAATTTTTTTTAAATTGATTATTTATCTCATAATCGTGATTTTTCGATTCTTCTATAAATAATTATAATAAATCTATAGCTGAAAATCGATAATGATTGATGTATAATTAAATATGATAAAGTACCAAGCATTTCAACATCACCCTGGGTCTCACTAGCCAGCCGTAACAAAATAGGTTTCAATCGCTCGCACGCTTGATGTAACTCCTTCATCAATTCGAGATCCTCTGTACTAGTTTCATTCCGATTATATGAATCCAGCATTTCTGACAAAAGTTTTACATTGTTGTGCACTGATTCTAATTCCATACTTCTTCGCGAGTTTAACTGCAGTCTTTCTTCATCCTATAAAAATAGATAATTTATGTTTAGAACTTAAAAAAAATTAGAATTTACATTCATAAATGTAAAATAAGCTTTTTAGAAATATTAGAAGGAATCGTAAAATATTCGAAGAAATCTTAATCTAAGAAATCTTAATCTATTTTATTTTAAAAAGTTAGAAAAAAAAAAGAAAAATTTTTCCAAATTTTAAGTAATCTTACCTCTTTCACCATAACCTTGATTAATCGATTTGCAGTTTGCAGATCATAAGGATCTTTACTATGAAGTAACTTGCGCAAATGCCTTGACATCTCTTCATTTTCAAAGATGTTATTCTTTATTTTAGATGATTTTTGACTTTCCTCATTATTAGCCATTATAAATGCTGCATCTTCCTGTAATTTATTTTTATTGCAAGTATTTTGATATAATTGGTTAATTAAACAAATACTCCAATTTGATTTAGATTATGATTTAAGCATAATTTAAACAGATGTTTTGACAATATAAAAAAATTATTAAAATGAATGTTTGAATAAAATAGAGTAGGTATTCTGATAATTAAATTCATATATATTAGAAATATAAAACAATTACTTTTTTTGCTTAAATTTAAAATAGAATTTTTATATCGAAGTTTTTTTCAACTTAAATGTGCTTGTATCATTAATTAGAAACAGTAGCACAATCATTTTTCCCTCAAAACATTTTACAAAACTTATAAGAATTCTGTAAAATATAAATTTTTATTTTGTAAATTTTTCAGTATTATTCTTCTATAAACATTTTTTAATTTTTTTATACAAAAGAATCAATATTCATCTCTCTTTTTGACATTTATGATTTAATGAACATATAGTAAAGATATATTTTATTAAATATATAATTATTTTTTCAGAGCTATCAAATATATAATTATTTATCAGAGCAAAATAGTAGAATGTCATAAAAAGATAATAAAACAACTAACTGTATTTTATTGTGCTTTCAGTATTGTATGATTAAAAGAAGAAAAATATCATAATCTTAATTATCAGATTATATATAAAAATAACAATATATAATAATAAAAATATAAAATAATAAATATAACCTCAATGACTCCTTGTTTTTTAAGCATCTCATAGGCCTCCTTTATTTTTGACTCACGAGGATATTCTCTGATCCATGTATAAAGAAGTTGCAATACTTTTTGCCTTACACTTGCTGTAGTGCGAGTACCTAAATATTTCGGCGAGACAAGTTTGATCATCTCATTGAGAAAACGGAATTTACCAATTTCAGCATGAAATAATGGACCACATCTTTTCATGCAAGTATCTAGTAACTAAAAAAATATATTATATTATATTATTAAGAGCTGGAGAATTATAAATCTATTATATGAATTATATATTTATAAAATTCTATATATTTAATATTAACTTATTAATGTCTCTTATTATTATTATGTCTTATTAGTCTTTTAAAATTTAATTTAATTTAATTTACACAGATACACAGCTTAATTATATATTTGTCTGGTAAATTTTTAAATAATTTAGATATCGCCATATATTTGTAATTAATATAAAATACATAATTAATTATATAATGAATATAAACCAATGTTTAAACAATTAATTTTTAATAATTAAATTCTCCAATTTTAAAAATGTAATATATATAAGCATTAAAATTTGCAAAACATCCAAAAATAACATACTGAAAGTGCTTGCAGTGCTTCCGACTCATTAAGCGATTGAATATGCGTTGCCAATAATTTTGTGCCTATCTGTATACCTTCCGATTCTTTGGTAAGCATCACGCAGAATGCTTCAATAGCTGCTATGTCTGGCTTCTGATTTTGTGGATTTGTAGCTCTTTCTATATAGCAATATATATATATAACACATACATATATAAAATATCATATGTAAATATGTCAAATTAATATTAATTATTACAAAAAAAACTCTCATATTTAAATAAAATGGTGTCATAAGTTAATTGTTAAGTTTATACTTACGTATGAGAGCTTCTAAACTAGTAGTTACTACATCCATAGTTATAATAGTAATCACTTATCGCTGCATATAATTATCGTCGGTATTCCTCTATGTAATTAAAACGAAGTTTGTAGCATTTTACGTAAACAAAATTTTCAATTTTCTAATCACGTGAAATTCCAATTTTCAAGATCACGTGAAATTCCAATTTTCAAGATCACGTGAAATTGTCATTCATTAAATGGAGACTCGCGTAAGAATCGCGAATTGTCCTTGCAATTGAATATTTGAATTAATGAAGCTCGATGATGAATTTACAAAATGTTTATCTACTAATGAGTCTCAGTTTATACGAAACATCGGTTCTTGCTGCTTTGTGGCTAATTTATTATTTACTCGCTTTAGGTTTCTTAGCATAAAACAGCTGTTTCCGCTATAGGAGTCATCTTGCTCCGCGTCACTCTGTCTGTTGTCTTTACTGATTTTTTTTTATTCCGCTACACGCTATCATCTAACATCACTTTCTTCTACGGTTTGGCATCGACGAACATCTAACATCACCGACTGCGATAAGATCAGACGAATCAGATAGAAGCCTGAGAGGATCCACGCGCCGTCTTTCGTAGAACCATCCTACAGCAACGCCATCGCATATATATTGAAAACTGGAAATACGTAACTGCAAGATTTTTTAACTGTCGATAAAATCATTTAATACATCATCAGATGGGAAGAAAAACATTGCAATCGATTTATCGATTTTTCATAAAAGCGAAAGATTGACTAGCTACACTACAATTTAGTATTTATGGTATCTCATTAGTTGTTGGTGGATTTCCTTAAGTGTGGATTCGGTTGGAATTGACCAATCAATAGCCAGGCGAAAAATGCTTTATTCTGATTGGTCAATTTTAATCGCAACTAAGAGCTCCTGTACACAGGACGCGGCAATGGCCATATTCAGCGGACTCAACAGTTGGGCAACATTGGGTGCTTTCCAATTGAGATATCCCTAGACACTTTTACGCACACGGCGACACAAGTCGCGTTCCAATTGCCGTAACTGCCGACACAACTTTACACATCCGTACTCAGCTCGAGGGCTACTAGTCAACTTGTGTAACCTTCTGTTTTCTAGGGACAAATGAAATATGCGGTTACAGACTGACGGCGATTATGTTGGCAATTTTCTTTTCGTTTTATCCTTTTTAATTAAAAGACAACCATTAAAGTACACCATACAAATACAAAAATGGACAATAAAAATATTAAAAGTCTCATTGAAGTAAGTAATTCAAATTAATGAGTTTTTGTACAATTAATTTTTTTATTATATTTAATAAATAAAATAAAATTGTCTCTTTTGCATATTTGCAGGTTAGATATATTACTGATTAAATTTTCATTCATATTTATATATTAATATAATATGCATTTATATATTTTATTTATATATTATTTATATATTATATAATATTATGCATATATATACATCTATGTATGTTAATCCATTTTATATATCGATGCTATCACCCTCAGCATGGATTAAAAAATATCAAGATGGACATGGTTATGAAGAATCCTAACCCTCCACTCGAAAGTCGCACATTAACTTTGTTCCAATTGAGTCGTGCACATCGCTACACTTTGTGCCTTCCTGTGTATGTTTGTGTTAAGATGTGTTAAACAATTGGAAAGCACCCATTGCTAGATTTTCCGATGCAACTCGATGCTGATTGGTCGGACCTGAAAGTAGAGACCAATCATATTCGATTGCTACTTAGCGGTTGAGTCCGCTGAATGCGGCCAATATTTGCCGCGCGGTGGAAACTGACGCGATAGCCAATCAGCAGATACGTAACATCTAGGTCCGGTTCCACAACTCGAGTTAATCCGAGTTTAATACGTTAAACTGGGTCCTGATTGGTCCATTCACTACTTAAACTCGGATTAACTGGATTGTGGAACCCTACCGCGCGTCAAAATTGAACTCAATCCAACTTTTGTAATGGCTTATCGCGTCGGCTTCCGCCGCGCGTCCTGTGTGCAGAAACCCTAAGCTGGCAACTCGTAGTGTGATTTCAGCTTTACGATATATGATATAGTCTCTTAAAGTAATTCCATGATTGTAACCTATGTATATTGCATACACGTGTTAATTTTTCCTCATTCGATTAAAAAGTTTATATAAAAGCTAAATACAGGTAAAAATTGAAACTAGAGGTCTTGTATATCTATTTTACATAAAAGTAAATTGATAAAAATTGAAACTAGAAGTCTTGCACATGTATTTTACATAAAAGTAAAGAGATATTTCTTTTCAGAAATGGTTGACGTTAAGATAAAAAAACGTAAAGTTTCTAAAAAAACAAAGAAATCTTGGCGCAAACACGTCGATATCAAAGATGTGGATAAATTTTTAGATGATAAAAGATTAGAAGAAAGATTGGGTGTTCCTTTTTCGGAACGTGTGGATTCTGAGCTATTTATCATCGACAAATCTGAAACTATTACAAATACTTTTTCCAAACAAGCTGCCAGGCTAGCTTTAAAGAATAAGGAACCAAAATGTTTTGCTTCTCTAAAGCCACATACGCAAGTTCCTGATCCGATTTGTAAAAGGAATCATGTAAAAATAAAAAAAAAGAAAGAAGTTTTAAAGAATAGAACACTCACAAAAACTGCTATAAATGATATTAATAAAAAAAAAGAAATTGAAGGTGATGCATGGGCTGACACAGATGTATTACCAAAAACAATCACTGATTGGATGTCTTCAGACAGTATTAGACATACAATCAAACATTTTGGAGTGCAAAAAAGAAAATTGCCTTCATCATTACATAAAAAACCATCTGTTTTACCAGCAGTGGAAGCACCACATCCAGGTTCATCTTACAATCCATCATATGTTGATCATCAAGATTTGCTTCATCAAATTGCTGAGAAAGAATTAGAATTTATAAAACAAGAGGAACATCTTGATCGAGTCACTACTAAAATGTTTAAGAAGGTGATTTTTGAATAATTATTACATATTATCTTCCTAATTCTTCATATTCTAGATCTTCAGAATAAATTTTATTTTTTATCAGCAGTTCATATGAATTGTATTATTTTGATTTTTTTTTTAATATATTTTTTTCAATGTTAATGTTATTTTTATATAGTATAATATAATGTTAATAATATCCTTGTTTTTAATCTGTATAACTTTCCATTTTAATCATTATTACATATTCTTTATAAATTTTTAATATTAAAAATTTGTATATTCAGATTCCACAAAATAAAAAAGAAGAGTACTTATTAAGAGAAATGTCAGAGGGCTTGCCAACAAAGCAAACAACAAATTTAAAATCTGCTGAAGAAGATGATAATGAAGAAGATTTGTCTATTACAATGGCAAATAGTAAACCTGTGAAAAATGTCAAAAAAACTCTTGTGCAGAGAAGAAAACAACGAGAACAAAAACAAGCAGCTTATACACGTAAAATGATGAAAATCAATAAAAAGATAGTTTCTGATATCTACAAACTGAAAAATTTCGAACAACAAATAGAAATTAAAGAGAAGAAGCTAGAATTTTTGAGACAAAAACGAATGATGAAACGTGAAAGAGAGTCTCTTATGCCAAAAACTTTAAGTAAAACTAAATTTGAGCCCTTGGATCCTGATTTTCAGTTAGCAGAAGAATTGACTGGCAATTTAAGGAACTGTAAGCCCTCCATGAGTTTATTAAAAGACCGATACAAGTCGCTTCAACAGAGAAATATTATTGCACCAGCTATCATAAAATTGTAAGTAAAAAAAAATGTATAAAATATAATACTAGTAAAATATATATGTTTAAAAGAATGATAGGAGGAAGATTTAAAAGTAAAGAATAATTGTGGAAATGCTTGCATAGTATGTAATAAAAAAAATCTTATATATAATGAAAATTAATTAATTGATTAGTTTTTATTATATAAACTGATTGATTTTTGAGAATTTTAAAAAACTTCATTAATAAACTATCTTCAATGATTCTACTTCTTACATTGTTAACAATTCTTTTTTTATTTAGGAAACGTGATAAAGCAAAGGTGAAGAAATTTGTGAAACCAGATCATAAAATAAACCTGGATGCTGTCAAGTTACGACTTAATAAGGTTTAATACTCTTATTAATTTGAAATAATATATATTTTCTTTATCTAATAACTTATATCTGTCCACTCTATTATTGAAAAAAATATTTAAATATGAAAATGAGGAAAAAATGAATAAATATGTTTCCAATAGCCATCTTAAGTATTATCCACTTTTTATAGAATCTTTTTATAGAATGAAGTATAATACCAATCTTTGCTTTTATTTATATAAATAAAATACATATATATATATATATATATATATATATCCTTTTATGTTTATTTAATTTTATTTTTGCAGTCTCATTTTTGAAATAAATTTTATTTTTGACATCTCATTTTTTAAATAAATTTTATTAACTAATAAATTTTATTTTTGTTACTTATAGTTGCACAATTTTTAGTTTCAAGATTTATTAGCACATATTTAATATCATAGAGTATTTGCAAATATGTTTGCAATTGATCAGATATCCATTGTTTCTGAAATTTAGCAATAGCGAGTTTTTCTTTTTCACAATAAAGCAAAATTTCCAACTGTTTTACGTGTGTTTCACACTTTCGCGCTTTGAGCTTAGCATTGTCTTTGTTCACTATGTATTGTTCTCCTGTGAGATAATTAGATTTGAATAATTTGGATAAATCAATATCTGTTTTGTTGCGCATTTCACATAACATTGCAATTGTGGATTTTTTTAGTTTGATAGCTACTATAGATCGCTTTGCATTCAAATATGCATTGTTAATTTTGCTTTTATATTTTTTTACTTCGTGACTGTGAAATAATAAATATTTTCAATATTAATTCACAGAAATGTAAAGTCAAATTAAGAATTAATAAATTTTGAAATATGCTGAAGTCAATTGGCTTACTCATATAAGATACAATCTTGTTTTTTAGAAGTCATGCTTTCCATAATCATTGATAATTGATTATTTATAGCTATATTTTCTGACAATAATTTGGGTATAGAACATGGCATATGTTGGCCTGTTTCAAGTTGAAACACACTAGCCAAATTCACGACACGATTATATAAATCTTTTTTGAATCTATATAAACATGTATTATTCATATAATTTCAATTTCTTTTCAAATAAGAAAGCAAAATTTATTTATTATACTTTTCCCTGTCAATCCTAAATTTGCGTTTAATTTGACGCAAACTTTCTGCCACCTGCTCTTTTTGATGAATTAAATATTGATTTTTCATATCTAATTTCTGTTCCAGTATATGTTGCATTGATTTATAATCTTCCAAAACGTTAATTTTAGCACCTTTTAATATGTTAAGAAAATTTTAAATAAATAACTAAAAAAAACTCAATTACATGGAAAAGATTCTGCGAAATTAATCTTTGAGAGGCTAAAAATATATATATGATAAATATTTGTGAACCAATTTTAATAATTAAGAATTATGACTGAATTTTTGAGTTACATAAATTTATAAATGGATGATTAAATAGATCATACAATAAAATTTTCACAAATTATATAAAGAATACAGAATTTGATTAAATAAAATTGACAACTATTATGGATCATTAAAATATTAAGAAATTACTCAGGAGCTTGATTTGTGAAATAAGCATAAGTCGGGTGTTTTTATATTTTTCATCAATGTTTTTAGTTCTTTCACTATGAGTGAATCTATCATCAATTCTTGATTTTTGGAGAGTAGCTAATTGATTTTTATATTGCTCTATCTTGACTAAATAAGAAGTTAGTTGTGAGTTTAAACTAGATATTTCTTTCCCTTTCTCTTCTTGTAAAGTTTTAATGGAATAATCTGTATCTCCTAAAGTATTCTCCAATTCCTTATTCCGTTTTTCTAATCTATTTAAAAGATTTTATTGTTATATAGAATATTCGAAATTAATTATACTTTTTTAAACACAGCATAAAGTTATATATATATATATATATATATATATATATATATATATATATATATATATATATATTACTTAAAGAAAAGAAAAAAAAGAATACATATATATATATATATATATATATATATATATATATATGTATTCTTTTTTTTCTTTTCTTTAAGTTAATCTTAAATTAATACACTAATCCTAAAAAACTAAAAATATTTTTTTTATAATTACCTTTGAATTCTTTTATTTGATTCTGCAATTTTTAAATCATACAAACATTTTTGCGTGTTAATAATAACGTCTTTTAACTTGGTTCCATCAAAATCGTGTGGCTGAAGACGTGGTGGTAAACTGACATTGCCCTTGTCTTTTCCATACAGATCCATTTTTATTATTTTAGTTTGTTCAATATTCAATAGTTTGTTCAAATGTTGCTTATTTTTATAACGTTTAGAAAATATGAGAAATGCATTATTTCTACAAATATTTAAATTTGTTAAGCTGTCAGGACATTTGACATGTTGCGCGTTTTATTTGAAAAGGACACTTATATTTTTATTTTCGCGAAACACGAACCGATTGGCTATCGATTTAGAGAATTTCTAGAATACCAAAAAGTTTCAACAATAGCAGCCAATCAAGACTGTCCCACGACAAATAGAATTTTACCCTAAGTGATATTGTTGGGAATTTATTTCTTGACGTTGCAAATCTGAGAGACGGAACATTCTTTTTTCACCGCATTTCACTAAATTTAGGTTGGGTTAGGTTAGTCAAAATGGACGTGCCGTCTGTGCGATAGTGTGCGAAGATATATGTATATTCCTACAGATGATCTCTTTATGTGTGAATGCGTCAAGTGTGGACAGGCCCAAGCAAAAGTTCGCTATTTCGTGTGATGGAAATCTGTTTGCGAATAAACTGTTATTGAACATTTCGAATCAATTCTCTTCTCAGTAGTATACATATTGCAATTTTATATATTGCAATTTTATATTGTACATAAGACAATATTTTCAAGAGTTTAATTACTTCAATCTTCTCTTTTATAATACGATATTACGATAATTTTTGAGTCGTATTGGTCACGATACAACTACCTTAAGGATTAGCAATGTATAATAATGATTCTATCTAAAAAATGATCTGAATTTTCAAATGTCGAGGTCGAAACTGTCGAATTGCCATCGTGTATAAGTGTGCATAAGACATTACAATTCATCCAGTTCGATCACTTGCGAATAATTGATGTGAATATAAGGATAACGATTTGAAACGGTACAGAACAACGATCATTTTATACGAAATCTTCGATATATAAGATACAAATGCTCGAGTCTTCAGAACAATATAAACAGGTAAGCTACATTGCTTAGCATCATTAATATTATTAGCATTGTAATTTAATTGCAGATAGTTTTAATTTATAATATATGCGAAGCATATAAGTCTCTATATATTGTATAATTGTATTTCAGATAATTGGCAATTATTTGTAAGTTTGCAATTCTTGCTGTTCTCTATTTATTCCGAACAATTTAATATTTTGAAAGCAAATCCAGAAACAATGCTTATATTAATCCAAAAATAGGATTCTTATTATGAATAGTAAATGCTGCAAAATCACGAACATGCATATGTTATTTAAGATAAATAATTGCATAAAAATCTATAAAGTATTAATGTATTTGGAACAATATATCACATATAAAGGCTATACATAAAATAATAAATTTGTAATATAAAAGAGAGAATCTATCATTATATCTTTGTAAGATTAATATAACAAATAACTACATATAGAAAGCATTTACACAATGTCGAATTCTAAGAAAAGTCCAGACTGTAATCTAGAAGGAGCCACAGTACTTAGAGATGAAATGCAAAAAATGGTAAAGAAAAAAGAAAAATCTTCTGCACAACCAAAGTGTAAATTGGATTTGCATGGTTGCCTAAATCTCCAAGATATTCTGCTCATGTTTGATAGTCCTATACGTCAAGAACGAGCATGGGCATTATGTTACCAGATAGTGAAAGGCCTATCACGCTTAACAGAGAACAAATTTTATGAAATATCAGAACTCTGGCAGATTGTGCTTCACAAAGATGGGGACATATGTCTTGAAAGTTTGGCAGGTGACTGTTTTACTATAGATGTTACAATTAATTCAGAAATTATAAAGTATTATTATATGTGCAAAGTTGAAAATAATTAACAAGATGATTTATTTTAAAGGTTCCAAACAACCTCTTGTTTCTGAAGAAAAGGTAAATATATAACTTGTACTATATATTTATACATATACATATATGTATATACACACACACTATATATATGTATATGTATCTTACAATATAAGTGATAATTATTTTATAAATTTATTTAAATTATATTTTTTGTTGTATAGGCCATATTCTCTTTAGGCATGACAATTTTTAAGGCCTTGGATTTTGGCTCTAATGCAGGAGAGGAAATAGCCTTATCACCAGATCTAGAAGCTCTTATTACATTAATGACAAGTTGCAATCGAGGTGAATGAGTCACATTTATTGCTGATATTTAATTGTATATTTAAACAGAGTTTCACATAATCGAAATAATTTTTTGTTTTAAATACGATTAAAATATTGTCTAATTATATTATTAGCATCTGAAGGTGATGTTGAAGAACGTCTACAAGAGACAGATGATGAAGGTATTGAGCGAGACTCGGGTGAAACTGATGCAGAAGATTATATGATGCCAAAAGCTACTGAATCATGTACAGGTAGTTCTGTATGTACCTTGAAGACCATTCTCCAAGTGAGTGTTTATATCTTTTTCTTAGTTTTTACAATAAATAATTAAAAATAAATAAATGTGATCAGATTATAAAAATCTTAAATATTTAAATCAATTTTGAGAAAACGTGATGAATAAGCAATTTTAATATCTCTTTTAATATCTTAATTGTATATAAATTAAGCATAAAATAATATTGATTGAATGATAAAACAGAAGTTTGTTTTTTATTTTAGATATGCGAACGGCATGTGCAGAGTTTGCATGAAGATTCTGATAATTATTATCGAAATGTGATACAAATGTTTGTGGAGGAAGCTCTTAATCTTTCTCAATTTCTGGAAAAAGTGGTTGTTGACAAGCAATCACAAGATTTGTACAGTCCAAGCATCAATGATGTTGATCGTAATTCTATCTCATTGCAGAACATTGATACATTGGATTTCAATGATTGGGTAAGTTTTCTCAATAAATATAAGAATATATATGATGCAAGATATGTCTCTCGTCAAATAAAAAGAAAATAACCGATTTACAATAATTGGCTGCGTTCAGCAGGAAAAGCTGCTTTGCAATTGTTGTAAAATTCGTGAATCTGATTGGTGCATACTCTTAGATTCAGCCAAAATTAAGAGCATACACCAATCAAGCTCACGAATTTTATAACAGTTGTAAGGTAGCTTTTTCTGCTGAATGCAGCCATTTATTTAAGTAATCTAATCTAACATAACTAAAATTTCTTTGTGTGTGTTACTTAATTGAAATTTTCTTGTTTCACATTTCTCTTTTAGAAGAAAAATGTATAAAAGATATATGATATAATAAAATAATAAACATATAATGATAATTATATGTAATTTACAAACATTTATTACTAACTGTATTTGCTCTTATAGACAGACATTAGAATTTGGAGGGCTATACAAGTACGTTTATATAAATATTCAATGTGTCTAACAAAACTTATCACCACTATTTATTGTAATTACATTATCTATTAGTATTTTTATTTTCTAACATTGACAAAATCAATATAGCATGCAAACGTAAACGTAATATGCTGCATGATAACTGAGTTTACTTATATTTATGTAGAACAAGTTGAATTTTATATTAACAAAATTGATATTTTGTTTATATTAAACAGAGAATGTGTTTATATAATAGTAAAAGATAATTCATTATTAATATTACCTTTTTTATTATGTTATAGTAATTTGTAGATTGTTATTTTATTTAATATAGATATTTTTTACTATTTATTTTATGTTAACAATATTCACATTGCTAGTTTCTACTGCAATAATTTATAAATAATTTTTTTAAGTGTTATATCACAAAATAATTATTACAATATTTTATTATTATTTAATGTAGAGTATTAATAGATATTTATGTTCTAAAACAATTTAAAGGAGCTAAAATCAAATAATTTGAAATAATATATTACAAGCATCTTTACAAGCATTTTTTTGTAAAAATTTTAACTTACTTTATGGAACAATTATTAATTAATACGCTCTATATTTTATTATTATATACTTATGGATGATAATATTAAAGCTTTATTGAATATCAAATTAGGCCAGATTTTGGGTTCAAGTAATTAGCGAGTTGAGACGAGGGGTAAAATTGAAAAAAGTGGAAGCCAATTTGGGCTCCCGCGCGTCTTCGCGCGCACAAGGGAATCGTCCGGATTACAAATTAACTCCTTATGAAATTTTAATGGATGACATTAGGGAGAAACGATATCATCTCAGAAAAACACCACCCACTCCTTCGAGAAAAGACGCGCACGCAATTATTTTAGAATTCATTCGAAGTCGGCCACCTCTAAAAAAGGCAAGTGAATATCTGGGATCCAAATAATTAAACATTAATGAGTTTATATTTTATATTCAGTACGAATTATGTTTGTTCAAACCTAAGATAATATGATACGCGATCTTCATAGGGCGCGATCGTCAATATCAAGTTTAATATGTATATGTTAAGTCTCAATTCAATATGAATCAACTAGATATTTCATTTAAATCAAAATATATTTATACAAATCATAGAATGCATTTTATGCATTTGTAAATTATTATTATAATAAATTATTATTATATAATAAAGTATACAATTATATTTATATAATATAATATTTATTTGTTTAGAATACATTAGAATTTTTTTATATGCAGTTTAAAGCATAAAAGAAAAAGTCAGAAATATATTTAAGTGGTATTTTAAAATATAGCAGTAATATAGCACAGTAGTAACAATAAATGAGAAAGGCTTTAGAAAATATATTTAAAAATTTTTAAAAAGTTATCTATTATATCTTATTATACAGGCTTCAGAGAGACGGTTACGACCATTACAAAAAGAATGTACGCTGAGAGAACTACTCATGGAAAGTATAAAGAAGCCTCCAAAACCTTTAAGATCTTCAAGTTCAAGACAAAACGTTCCTAGAGTCAAAGAAACATCAGTTTGTAAGTCTACATATCTTATATAATTTATAGGCACTAGCTACATATTTTAATAATGGATAATAATAATAATTTATTCTAATTTATTAATCTAATTTATTAATCTTCTATATTGTATTAGAAATACGATATCTCACTACATGTATTTCAATTATACATTTTTATTTCTTTTTATTCTAAATATGAAAATATGAAGTTGAGGAAATTTAGAACAAAATTTACAATAATTATTTCTATATATAAAGTTAAGTACCATTCTGATTGAATACTATTTTATGGCTTAAGAATAGAATAAGAAAGAAGTAGGAAAAGTAAATTTTGCAATATTTCTGTTAAAATAACATACATGTGCATTTAATCATTGCGTTAAAATTGTCTCTTATTAATTTTATGCAATATAATAAAAATTAAAATTTTATACGAAATAATTTATAAAAATCGAATAAAATTCTATCTAAAAAAATTTTGTTAGAAATCGTAAAAAATTGTTAAACATTATTTTATTAAAATACACATTAAAAAAATATAAATAAAAACATTTTTTAATTATTAATTATTAATCATTTTTTTAGTTATTAATTATATGTAATATATAATATATATATAATAAATTAGACTATATAAAAACTTTGTTTTAACGCGCTTTATAGTCAGATCGCGAGAATTCGATATCGAATCGCACCCTATAACGTAGATGAATCATGATTTGGGGCGCTACGGGCGCAGAGTAGAGAGAGAGAGAGAGAAAAAGCAAGAGGGTATGGATGGATGGGTGGGAGGGAGAGGAAAAGGGTATCTGGACACGATGTAGACACGATCAATAACTGAAAGCGTGCAAAGGTGAACTGACGTTGCCCGAAACGTCAGCGTAGCACGCCAGTCCAGTCGGATGTCAACCCTTCCTCGTGAATGTCCTGAAGTAGAATTCTATATTGTTCCATCGATGCGACTAAAGGATGGACTAATCCTTACTTCGAAAATATTCAAAAATCGGTGGGATAATGAGTCGATCCATATCTTCAACATCTGCGAATCTCTCTTTGTGAATAATCTCATGAAGAATTTACGAATTTGAGATAATTTACTGTGATTTAAAAAGTGTTGTAAAGAACGTGAACATTTATTTGTCTTGTTATTTATTTTATAAAATATATATGTAGTGATTATAAAGTTCAAAGGTAAAGATCCATATATACATATGTAGATATAAGATATAAAATTCTGTCACATATACATGTTCCAGACTTTTCATAAAATTAATCTTTTCATAAAAAGATTAAGTTAAAATTTTATGGCATGTTTCATAAAAAATATACTGAATGTACTAATAAAAAATTTATGACAGACATACAATTGGTGTAAAAAAAATATGTGGTCCTGTATTAACATATTGCTTACAAAAATTCAATCAAAACAGTTATTTTATTTATTAATTTAAAGCAGAATTTATAAAATCATCAAATTTCAATTATAATTTCTATTGAATAAATAATAAAATTAAAAATATGTATATGTCTTATATAATTAATGCTTGTGCCTTAAAATTTTTAAGTTACATATTGAAAAATCTAGAAAAAATTGGGCTAATAAAAACTATAATGAATAAAAATTTAAAATATTAAAAGAACAAAATTATCAATTCTAACATTTATGCATATATAATATTCAAGATTCTTACAAAAATTTAAGATTTTATTAAAATATTTTTAATACTTTAATTTTCTTTAAATTTTCATGGAACTTGTCTATTAAAGGCTATTAATTTTTTGTTTATTATTTTTTTCTTTTTTCAAATTATTTGTAGTAAGTCGAAAATCCCGGCGATTTGTAAGCACTCTATACATAATTTATTATAAAAAATTCAAAATTTTATTAATAATATAATAATATAAACATTTAAAATTTGATTTTTTGAGATTTAACATTAAGAATTATGTAATAATATATAATAATTTGAATTTATAGATCTATAAGAAAAAAATAAAAAACTATGGAATAAAACAATTGGCTCTTTGAAGAATATATAAATCAAATATATCTTTTCGAATATATCTGTAGAAATTTTATAAGCAAAGATGTGGAATTTTGCACGAGTATCTCCGATTTGCTTTTCTAATCTTTCCTCTTCTTCAAGAACTCGGATACATTCTTCAAGATGATGACAATGATGACGTATACACTCGCAATCCTTTCGAAAATTTCGAATTTTGATACTTATTTAAATATATCACAAGCTACTACGTGTTTCTTTTAAATTTATTGTAACATCGTCAAGTCAGAATCAAGAGTCACTGCTGCTTTCGTTTTATTACAAGTAATAATTTTCTTCAAAAGAGAAAAAAATAAATAAATAAATAAGTACGAATATAAAGTAAAAGACTGAAAACTGAGAAAAATAAGATAGTTGACGAGAAAACAGGACAACGCGCGCGCGCAAATAATTTTGAAGCTGTGAATTAATAAATAGCACAAGTTGACCTTTTGATATTCAATAAATTGTTAGCTTAGAGCACTTGTCTATTGCAAATATTAAAAATATTTAAATATTATGTAACAAAAATTAGTTATGTTGTGTGTGTTTATTATATACAGGATAATATCTTTCTCATAAATACTAATGAAATTTTGGTGATTTTTTTGAAGCAAAAAAATGTTGATTTTTTTGACAAAATCTTTTTCGGCAATAAATAATAGGATTCCGCACAATCTTTGCAATTTTTCTATATGAATTAAATTTTCATAATAAATAAAAAGATTAGTCTCCATATCTTAAAAATTGAAATTGGAGTACAAAAACTGATGCTGCCTTGCTCTCACGATTTCAACTTTTTCAGGCGGCAAGTCTCGCATGATAGTCCTTGGAGAGGTGCCGCCGTCGCAACCAGAGCAGGAGCAGGAGTCTGCGCAAGATGTTGCGGCTCAGTGGTTGCAATCGGAGGATCAGAGGACAGCTACATCGGCAGCCGGCGGCATCCTGGCGGCAACGAGTCGCAAAAGACAGGATGTGCCGCCAGTGCCGCAGCCGCGGCAAAGGATCGCCAAGGAAAGACCCGACGTCAGGGTTTTGCCTTCCAATAGGAATCGTAAGTCGCGTAGAAGGCGCATAACGGTCGCAGGTAATCATCTCATTCATCATCGTCATACAGTGTGAGTGTGAAAAGTATTTAAAAATTAAAAAGGCGTAAAATCTTCGAGTATCAAAACAAAGAAGTATAATGTACTATGAAACAATAATTAGAATTATGATAATTATAAAGAAAGATATTTTTTTGTTATAAAAAAGTTTGCAAGAGGTATTTTCAATATAATAAATTTAAATATTTTCAAATGTAATAAACATTAAAAAAAATTGTAGTAGAATTTATCTTTCTTATACACTTGCAAATAATTTAAAGTTGTAATATTAATAGTTAATTCAGTATATAATGTAATATTATGAATGATAACGTATATAGAAAAAGAAAAATAAATAAAAATTAAAAATTTTCGTAAGATTGAGACATTAGAGTGTCTTTGCTAAGAAAAAAATTATTTATCTTTAAAAAGTTTCATGCATTCATTTAAAAAATCTGTCTTTTCATTTCTGAGTCATGTATCAATCATTGCATAATAAATACATAAATCATATTATTGCGATTTTAAAGTTTGCGCCATTAGTACCAATCTAGATTAAATTATGAAGATATAAATGTATGAATTAATTTCAATTTTTTAGATATAACGCAAAATGGGGAAAATATCAAGGAATATGAATCATCTGCAGTACCAAAACCACCTGGAAGAAATTTGGATGTTGTTAGACGGCCCAAAAAACTGATACCTGTCGACTTCGATTTAAAGGTCTATTTTCATATTTCTTCGATAGTAAATTCCAAATACAATAATAAATATTCGTATAACATGATACCTCTACAATACGATAAAAAATTGCATACATCTCATTCTCACATAAATTTTTAAAATCACCCTAAATAAATTCAAACTTTTTTTTTGTAATAAACATTTTTAAATTACATATATTTCATATGTATTGTATAACACATAACATGTTTTTCATTATAGAACGAAAAGTCTACTGTATATAAATATTATTATATAATTTATTCTAATTTGAAACTCGAGTAATGGCAGTAACAGATTATTCATTAGAGGCTGCAGTAAAATTCTGACTGGAGATCAATGTGCTTAGTAATAGCCATTAGTTCATTCATTACTATAATTTCTATGAATGATTAATAAAAATAATCTCATTATTAAAGTTCATTGTGAATTAAACAATAGCTAATATTAATCGTATATTTCTTGCATTCATTTTATATCTCTATGCAATTTGATTGTATTTTCATATTGAGTCACATTTTATAAATTCAAAGAATATAAATATCTAAAAAATATAAATAATTAAACAATTGCTATCTTCCATACAGTTGGATGCAGAGGATGATGACGATGATGATGACGATGATTACAACGAAGAGGAATTTGAAACGCGATTTGAGGAAGAAGACGAAGCTTCTAATTATTGGCAACTAAAGGATTACAACTTTGGAACTCGCGAAGGTATGCGAAATGGACATAAGGATTATCACCAGCAGAGGGATGACGATGAAGTAGGATCTGCAAATCCCTGGCGGAAAACCGGCGGACTTCGTTTAACCAGAAACGAGTATCATCGATTTTGCGATGCTCAACTAGAATGTAATTATTATAAATAATGTTCCAACTTCTTTTTCCCATTATTTGTTTATTATTTTATAATCTTTCTTCCTTTCTTCTTGTTATTTCTTTTATTTCTTTCCTCTTAATATATTTTTTATCTAATATTTATAAAAATTGCTTTGTAATGTATGAGATCCACTTTAAGGATGCATTTTCTATTACAATTTTCAAATCAATTTTTTTTTAGTAAAAATTTTAATGGACATCGTCTTCAATAACTCTTTTTAGTTTTTAATTAAATCTATAATCTTTCTGATATATTCTTTCCTTTTCACAATTATCAGTGATTTAACTGTCAGTATATTCTAGTGTTTTGAAATAATCATGATAAGGATTAGATAGAATTTATCTAATCTTTTTTTAAAAAAGATTTATTCATAAAGTTATTCATAAAGTTCACCAATAAAATGCTAGAGTTAAGAGATTTATTTTTATAAGTTTTTAACTTTTTCAAAAAAATAAATTTCTATTGTATTAGAATAGAAAAAAATTTGTTTTTTCTCTTTTATTAATGATAAAAGATTTAATGAACTTGTAATAATGTAATATAATAATGTTTTTCATTGTAGATCAAGTTTGAATTGCTTCGAGAAATGATCGAAAATTAAAAGCAATAAAAATATGAAATAAAAAATTATATATTATTTTGTTTTAGAATTTGAGCTTGAAATATATTGAAAAATAATAGTGTGTAAAAATTTCTTTCTAACAAATCTGTCAATTAAGTCGATATCTTAATTTATGTCATACAATTTTAACGATAAAAATAGTGTTTTCTTTTTATAGCTTGAATTCTAACTCAGGTTCAAATATATTTTCAGTTGAACAAGAATTAAAAAATAAATTTATAATGATTCTCGGAATAATTCAAAAGTAAAATTGATTCGAAGATCCCTTGTTTTATTCTTTCTACATAAAATTTTTGTTTAATTTTTAGCTTACGATTTAGCAACGCAGTGTCCTTCCCGGAGAGCATCCGCAAAGAGACATGCTGCAAAGTGTGCTATACCATTAATGTCACTTACGGGGACGACATCCCTGCCACAATCAAGACCGCAAAGTCGACAACACGCTGGTCTCACAGATTCTACACTGAGCCAAGGTCCAAGTCCTAACATTAGTTTGAATCCCAGCCCAAATCACAGTCCGCAACCACGTGCGCCCAGGCAACCGCGACGAGCATACACGATTGCACATGAGGATAAGGATGATAGAGCTCATGGCGATGAGTGGGAGGACGATACCGATAAGGTAAAGAATGCATATATATATATATATATATATATATATATATATATATATATATATATATGTATATATAATTTCGGATACAATCACGGATAACACTTTGACTTGAATATATATACTATAGCATATACTTCTCACATATACTTCTCACATATACTATAGCATATACTTCTCACAACAGACTTTCCTGAATGCAAAGTAAAAGATAAACATATTTTAATATAGAAAAGATGATGAATTTCTTAGTCAATTTATAATTAATAGATAAACATTACAAGTTGAGAATTAAATTTTAAGAATTTAAATATTTATATTATATGATAAATAAAAAGTACATTTTAAGGGTCATTTATATTTCACAGAAGGGAATACTAGGGGATATGTTGCTGGACGAAAGACTGTCGTTAACATTGGATGAAATCGTGCACATTCGTAGCGTGCTCACGAAGGCGGAATTAGAGTCTCTTCCCGTAGAAGGACGTGTTAAAGAGGATGTGGAGAAAAGACGTGTTTGTTTTCTCTGCCTGAAAACACGTTTCGGGCTCTTAGGTCCTTGGGGACAACGCTGTCGTTTATGCAAAAGAACTGTTTGCGTGAAATGTTATTCGAAAGTCAGTATCCAATTGCATATATATATTTTTAATATAAATTTTTAATTAAAATAATAAATTTTATTTTATTTTATTTTGGCTATATGAAATGTTTGAAAATTAATAGAAGAGTGTATATGAATTGTTCAAAAATTAATAGAAGATTGTAGACATGCAATATTTTTGATATAGCATTATTTTATTTGAAATCAATTATATTAATTAATACATATAAATTTAAAACATATAAATTTTAGCTATTAAGCACTTTTTTCGTTTCAATCTCCTTCAATCTAATGGTGACAATATTTATTTTTTAGATGCGAATTCCGACAGAGCAGTTTGCCCGAGTGCCGGTCGTACTCCTTTCTCCCGGATTATTACTCTCGCCAACGGAAACAGAAACCAGTAGCGGCAAGAATACTTGGTTAAGGAATGCGGGGGCGGTCGGCTCGGCACCGGCTTCTCCCGCATCTAGGCGAAAGGATTCCGCATTACGTAGCGGCACGCCCACTTCAACGCCAACGATGACACCGGTCTCCGCACTGACGCCAATATCAACGCCTTCTCATGCACGTCGAGAGATAGAAAATCAGGGATCGGAGAAGAGGTCAGTGCGCGATATATTTATACAATAATTGAATAAAACATTCAAACTATTCCGAAATTTGATTTAACGAAACATAATACATTCACAATATATTATATATGATTTATCGTTAGGATAATTATTTTTATATCTTCTAGAATCCAATAATTTATAAAATCACAAATTAAAAGATTTAAAAACGCGTTTGAAATTTTTTTAGATGTGTGATTGTGTAATAATTAGAAATATATTCTTAGTAAAAAGCATTATATTGTTTGTTTTCTATTGAACAAATATTTTGGTATCAAATTTAATATTAATTTTTCAATTAAATTAATTATATTTTACATGTTCATATTTTATTTGAATAGTTTTTATGATTTATGCACAGATGTTATAAGGGCGGTGGCAGTCCCGCCGCTCTTTCGACCACGAAGACATTCTCCGGCTCGAGCGGCCCGACCGCTGAGCAGCGTCTGGCGGCGGAACGGTTACGTGGTGTCGCCGTAGTTGTCTGCCACGATTGTCGTATCATGGTCATCCAGATAATCAAGAGTTCGAGAACAACACGTGCGACAATACGCAACAATGTCATTTCTCGTCTCACTCTGAATCTGTCCCCCGCCTACGTTTAATCCTCTTCACTTCTTAATACCATTTCCATCACTGACTGCTATTCTTACTATTGTTTTCTCCGTATTTAACGGAAATTAGTATTATACTGTATACGTATTGGTAGCGAGTTGGTAACAATTGTTATCACGACTCGAAAGAAAATATGTGTCTATATGTGCAGATGCAAATAGGACAGTCATTCTCTTGTAATGCGTGTTGCAGGACTACATTGGTTTTCGTATTGTAAGATAATGATAATGAAGAATTATCCGTATAAGAAATAGGCATGTCTAAAATTTGTTTGGTACAGATTTATTTAAACTTTGTGTGTTGATATGTTTGTCCTGGATATAAGTTTTATTGATTACTACATAATGAATCGAAAGAAGTCAATCAATATTACAGTAGTTTCTTTATGATCAATATTATTTGAAATGCAATAGAGATGTATGTGTATTAATCATTTTTATGTATTAATCATTCAGCCTAAATGTATTACTAGAGTCTAACTAATGTTTATATGCTTTGTCCTAAAATAAAAATTTTATTTTACATAAAATGATTTACACCAAAGTAAAAATTTATACATTTCGTTATGTCTTCATTTTTGAAACTTAAATTATTTTCTTATTCTTTCTAAATTGTATATAAAATTTTATTAATTGTATATAAAATTTTCATGATTTTTCTAGCAATTAAATATTCCACTTTAAGATTTCTTTACAGTTTTCACATATGAAAATGTTTCTTTATTATATTTTCATGACATGCAAAATTTGGAAATATACAAAATTAAAATCTTCAAAAGTTATAAATTCAAAGATTTAAAAATCTGTGAATCTCTACAATACACATAATAAATAATTATATTTTTGATGCGATAAATTAATATTTTATAAATAAAATATCATATTGCTTATTCCCTATTGTAAACAAATATTTCAACACACAAGGTAAATTAATCTCCTGATTATACTGTATCTTACATGTCTATATTTTACTTTAATAACTGATTTATTGTCTATATGTTATTTATTTGGTATTAAAATAATATATTGCAACGCATTATTAAATTTATTTGCTGCAAAAAAATATTAATTAAAAACATGAAGACGTATATACGTAACAAATTTATATTCTATTCTATTATATTATTTATTTATTATGTTATTTTTTGTGTTATTATTTATATATTATGTATATTAATTTATTAAGGTAAAACTTCCAACAAAATTAAAGCATCTAAACAGCTAGAAACCTAAGAATTAGAGTTAAAAAATTTTGACAACGGAAAAGATCGAATAAAACAGTTAAAGATCCGAATGTCGAAAATTCTAAGGATATGCAAAAATTTAAAAATTTAAATGTTAAGAATATAAGCTCAAAGTAAGAATCTCAAGATATAAAGATTCAAGGATTTAATCGATGATCTATAAGACTCAAAGAATGTAAAGAACTACAAATTTGGGGTATCAATGAAAGTAAAAATTCATTGATCAAAATATTTGAGCAATTTTAAATATTTAATGATTAAAAGAAGCCCCCTTTAAGAAATTTCTTTGTAAAACATTAACTTTTTACAAAAGTCTATCTTTTTTATTTCATGTATCTTTAGTTTCAACAAATATTGACGATACAAATTTAAATTGTACGTATCATAAATACTTATGATTATATATTCTATAGAATAAATATAAATCCTTGGATCTCTAGCTCCTTGCTTTTACATATCCTTAGATTCTGAGATACACGCTTAATTTCATAAATTCTTTATATACATATACACAACCCTTTATATAATATAAATCATTCAAGAATCTATGATATTATACCTCAATATCTTGAATGCAAAAACATTTGGCTGCTTATATAAATACTTGCATTTCATTAATCATTTTTTTGCAATTTTTTTAAAATAAAAGATCTCATTCTTAGAACTAGATTCTCAACATACTTTTTGTATTGCAATGTATTAGATCTCTAGATTCACGAGAATTCTACATTTCCAAAATCCTTATCTTTTTCATTATTTACGTCAAACATTGCAGATTTTTAAATAAAAATAATAAAATACTACTTTAGCTTTTATTAAAATATGTAAAATTAAATGAAGAAAATTAAAATAGGCAATATTATCGTTGGCCGTTTTAAAAATTGGGGGCAGAACTAAACAGAGGCGATGCCTTAGAAGAATAAAAATAATCGAAAAATCATAAATAGAATGCATTCTTCTTGTAAGGTATTATTGTTGATCTTCCACGTTATATAATAATAACATTCAAATGTATTAAAAAATCAACTATATTCCTCACTAAGAAATATACAAGATATTCCAAAAAAGATATTTCACAATAGCTTTATCTGTAAAAGAATGCTCATTTCAAAGATAAATGAATAATAAGCTTTAATTGAGATATTATGAGCTTAATTGTAAACTTTAATTTATTATCATTCTTGAGGATATTATTATACATATCTATTTTTCTTAATTTAAATAATACAATAAATACCTATAATAATTTTTAAAAACAAAAATTCGTAGTATTGCGATGCATTTAGCACTATATTCTCGTGTGTCTCTCATATATAAATAAATATTACAAAAATTTCTCACACCGGGCTATTCAACGCTAAATGAATACTATACACAAATATGGACCAATGCTTTTCAATTAATATGGAAAGATAAAATAATGTATATGACACACACACTATTTTACTCTTTCTTTTTTTAGAATATCTTGTATAACCAATAATAATGTTCAGAAAAAAAGTAGAATAAAAACAAATATCGTAGAAGGAGAAAGTGAGAAAAAGTAAAAGAGAATTATACAATTTATCATAAGTCTTCGTATCAAAGTGGATAAATAAATAAATTTAATAGAAAGTTTAAGAAGCAGAAAAATGAAGATAAATATCTAAATAAAATTAATTCATAATGCATTTGAAAATGAGGGAATAATATAAATTGATCACTATTTAATCTAGGAATAATATAAATTGATCACACTTTTGATATATCTATGTTATTAATTAAATAAGATTAATATTTTGTTGATTAAATATTATAATTAATTATTTTTATTGTTACTTAATTGGTTGAATAAAATAAATTGCGATTAGTTCTAGGATAGATTAATTTATTGCATATTACTCGCGCAAATGAACGTGTAGAAATATGTATAGGAAAATTATGTTAAAATTATGAATTAATAATTAAGTTAATTGTATATATTGTACATGACTCCTTTTACATTGTAAAATATCTCTCACAACGATATTATTTATTCCGAATATTTTCTGTAAGTGCAAACAAAAAGCTATGACACACAGTTGAAATCATTATTGAAAGAATGTACATAAATAAGAAAAAATTAATTGGATTATGATGATTCTGACCGTGATCTTAATCATGATTCCTGTAATGTGGTGCAGAGTAGTACAAAGTAGTACAAAGAAACGAAATAACGAATTATGAAGTTACGTTGCAAGTAACTCCGAGAAATGTTTCAATGTTGAAGCCGATAAATAATATATATACACGTATTATATAATCGAATTGTTGCAAAAGAGTTGCTTGTGAGAATCCTATAAAATTTGTAGGACAATTATATGGTACTGCGAATGTAAATCCGACAATCGAAGGATTCAAAGAGTTTAGGGGAAAAAGGGAAAAAAAGAAAGAAATTCTCTAATGACGCGAAAATGAAAATTATCTTAAATCTAAAAGTTCAGGATCCAGAAAGTAAAAAAAAGGATCTCTAGGAAGCGCGCTGAAAACATTTTCGCTGGACTGGAAAAGTAGAAATCTTATTTACGCAGATCTTTTCTCTTTAAATCCTTCTCCCTCTTCAAATGAGCCTCATATTCAGTATTTCTATTAAGAAATGTTAATACTTGGCTGAGCTTCGATATTAAAGGATTCGTATAGAATTACAGAAGCTATTACATGAGCTCTTGAGAGCTAGAATATTGCTTTTGCGTATATATTTTATTTTGAAATCTCTTTCTTTTGGAGAAAATATTTTATTCAGATTCTTGGATTTAAAAGAAATATTTTTTTCCAAAAATCTTTAAATAACTATTTTCTGAAGGAAGAGAAAAATCTTGAAGGATTCAAAGATTTCATGATTAGATTTATAGCATAGATTTATAGCATAAGATGTAACTTTTGTAACAACGTAATACGTTGCAAGCTACAATATTTCGTTTAGCGTTTAGAAAATATTTAATTAGGCAAATTAGGATCTGTCTTGCTAGACAAAATGTATCTTGCTTCGTTTTGTCGTTATCTGCAAAAACTTGATGTAAATTTGCGATTTTAGCCGGCTATAAGTAATAAAACGATGAAAATGAAGAAAACAAAAAACAAAAAAATATCTTTGAAAAATGTGTGTTAATATTCTCTTATGCATTATTTTATTTGTCATTTTCTATTTAGTTTCATATATCTTATATTAATTTGAGATTTTTAATAAATAAAGAGACTTAGCCTCCTTTTTTGTAAGATGTTTGTCTAAATGTTCGTCATCTAATATTTTATATATTCTACATAAAAAGAGAAACTTTAATTTTCCTTCTCGTCACAAATTGTGTACTTAAAAAATAAATTCTTCAATTTGCTATTGTGTGTCATAGCAACTCAAATGACTTAATTCAAATATCATTAATAGACGAAATTTATATCTTTTGTTTTCAAATAATTAGAACAATATTGAACATACACATGGAAAAATGAAAGGTCAGCTGTCAATTATTTTTTACTTTGTTTTATTATTTTTTATTTCGTTTTGCTTATTACACAAAAACAAGCAATATTGTGCTATGCAAGAGTGATAAAGGAATCCGCGGATCCTTAGAATTTTCGGGCATGATATCTTTATAATCTTATATTTTTTGCCACATATTCCTGTCGTGCATTTAGCATTAGCTGAAGACTCGGGAGAATGTAAAGCTCTCTCTTAAATATAAATCTAATTTTTTTTATATTTCAACGCATTCGAGCTTTGTTGGATATTAACATCACATTGATTCGTGCAAGATAATGATTGAATTAAATTTAATGTTCTTTAATGCTAAATGCGCGGTCAGAGGACGCAGGCTTTCAGGTCCCGTGAGTGGCTCGGAATTTTTAGCTTCTACGATCCTCATTGTGCAATTTTGATTATATATCAAGGTGATATATTTCATATATCACCAAAAGGAGCGCGAGCTACCAAACGCTGCATTTCTTCTTCGGATTCATCGGCGAACCCAGTGGGCAGCTGAAAGCCTTGGCAAAGTCCTCGCTGTTTGACAGGGGACCCAGCACTCGTACCGGACCGGGCGAATGCACGCTGCTGCGAATCTTGCTGAGAGCATCTTCCGGCCTCATGGTACCGCACCAGATCTGCGCGTAATTGAGGAAGAACAGCTGATCGTGCGTGAGATTCACTCCCGGCAGCAACGGTTCTTCACCATGGATAGAGACCCATTTCTTGTAAGCCTAATATTTGACGAAGAGAAATTATTGTCGACTCCCTAAATATGTTTCGAATATTTAAATTCAAAAGCC